AAGGCCAAATCTGCCACTGCTTCTGACAGTCTGGAGGCCAGGGCACAGCAAAAGAACACCACATCCTGTTTCTCCAATTCGATTGAGTGGTAGATGATGGACCCAAGGGAAGGCCAAAGAACGCCCTTCAGGAAGCTGATGAACAGAAGAGAAAGAATCAACATGTGGGGTGTCTGCAGGGCGCAAGCCACGAAGACCCCAAGGAATGTTACAGTGCCTTCCAAGGCAATGATGGGAACTGGCTCAATGTAGTCTGCCATGGGCCCAGCCAACAACAAACCCAAAGCTTCACAGAGTGTGGTGACCCAGTTCACAACCAGTGTTGATCTCTTCGTCCACTCCAATGGGGCGTCCGCCTCCCAGGCTGGCAGCAAAGCATAGTAGTAGTAGCTGCTGGCAGTCAGGGTGAAAACAATAAGGCTGAGGCTGAGGGCGACCTCATAATCTGATGTTGACCAAAGCTTGTTTCCGGGCTTGGGTAGCTGAGTGGTCCCGTAGGACTTCACTACCGTGCCCGGACCCATCAATTTTTCATGGAGAAGGTGATCTACACTACCAAGTGTGAGCCATGAACACTGCGAGCAAGCCAAATGTCAAAATGTTTAAAGCACAGCGTGACAGGTATCTTGTGGACATGTTGCATTTTCACAGCGCATTGCACATTACTCAACCCCCCTTGTATAATGGTGACTGACATGCAAGCTCCAAATCAACAGCTACTAAGCAGCTACGACAGAAAGACCAGTTCTTCAACCACTAAATATCCATCCCTGGCATAGAACTTGCAATCTCCTCTGCTAGTGGCTCGAAGAGTGGGACCTCATTCGCATCATCAATAGCAACTAATTCGGCAATGTTCATCTGTTCCTCAAGTCTAAATTGAACCACGAGAGCAAGTCAGCATGCAGCGTCCAAACTGGGATGCAGTATGACACAGTCATACCAAAGTCATCCAAAGTCACTGACAAGCACATCCTCATCTCCGATCTCAAAAATGTCCTGTGAGACTGGCCTCAGCTACTTCAGTTACTTCAGCTACTTTGGTGCCTCCCTTAGCGCCGCACGAGAGATTTGGCCTATGAATCTACGAACCAAGCACCGGACTCACCTCCATAGCCATCTCGAAAGATGTCGTCTGCCTACAAGAGCAGCATTGGGTCCCGTGAGATTTCTTCATCAAAAACATATACATTCTATATATTCTGCAGATCCCCTATGCCAATATTACCAATATTGAAATTGGATCAGAGAAACAACAACACGAAAAGCAAGGCCACTACGTTCAGGGAAAATGGTACAAGCATCTGATACAACAAGACACGCAAGCAAACCATGCTCTTCAATTTGATCGAAAGGACAGTGAATTGTTCAACCATCTCCAAATGCAGTTTCGATCAAACAATTCGCACGTAACGTATATACACTTGTCATCATCCTTCTCTGAAAACCAGGTCCAAAGCCGGAAATTCTGCCCGAACTCAATCCCTCCATTCTTTTTGGGCGATTGCAGGGTCTCACCCCTGTACATTCATGCACGAATTGGTCGCTGTGTCTTTCTGGCTCGCTTGATGAGGGTGATTGCAAAAGATGAACGTCACCCTCAAAACCAGAAGTCCAAAGCAGACTTTAGTACATGGCCCATCCAACCCATCTAGAATCTCTCACGCCCACAATATAATATCTTCAAAACATTAAATCTACATACTTAAACTGCTATGGTGAGTCAAACCCTATCTGTATCTGTACCCGCTAGGTTAGAGGGCTCGTTTGCTGGACCTGTACCGTCAAATGATTAAGATTGATTAAGTATATCACATGACAAGATCTACAATGTTTATTTCTTTAGTGTTGATTGTTTTTGCTTGATACTCAGACGTTGGTCCAATTCACGCTGCAAGCAATTGTTCATTGTCACATTCAAAAAACTGCCGCTGACAATCTCAAGCGCCTCCAAGGGAAGACGCATGTGCAAGCGAATTAAGGCGTTCACGCAACCATTGGGCCATGTCGGAAGGGGGTTGCCTTACCAATCCGAACGCCGCACATTGCACTCAATGTTTCGCAGAGGGGTTCACCATGGCTGCTCGCCAAGGGGCATCCTTGAATGTGGGTACCAATGAATATGACTAATGACTAAATATGATTTGAATATATTATATACACTGAAAATGACACTGTTTTCAATGCCGTCGCGTGTGGATTGTGCTTATGGCAAGGGACCATTCGCAGGAGGACATGTTCTCCAATGCAGCTTTCACCTTCGGCTCCAAGTCTGATGGGATGTGCTCACGCAAGACCTGAGCACAAGTCACTGGTGACCGGACCACCAATCATCACCAATCACAATACATCACAATACCATTTGACAATATTGGACCCATTTGTGGGCGTGAACATTTGTGAGCTGGCATGAATTGGCTGGGTGCCAGACGCCATTGCATGACGCAAGCCATTTCAACTCTTGGCTCAAGCAGTTGATGCCATGCATCAACTCAGCGTTCTGCTGGCCGATTTCCATTTCGAAGCTGCACATCTCTTCTTTCATCTCCTTGGTAAACACATTGAGTTGTTCGAAGGGGCAAGGCCCTGTGAGAGTGATCGGGGCCCAATATGAGTGGTTCGCAAACGCCCCCGAAGACTTTGGAGACACATACAAATGTCTCAAGACCGAAGAATTCAACAGCAAGCCCGATCCACAGAAATATTCGAACCACGACTAATGACTATGATCGCTTTGCATCTAAAGTTGCTTCACTCTGAGGCTATGTAGCCTGCAAGTCAAGTTTCTGCAGGTGTTGCAAAACCCTCCAAGTTGCCAAGCTGGCTTTGCAGGGTCGCAAGTTCATCCTTCGCCACAAGTGATTGCAAACCGGCAAGATTTACAGTGGACCAGGTACCACGATGTACCAAGGCTGTATATAATTAACCTGATACCCACAGCCACAACGCTCAACTTCTCGGCAAACACACCCACACATGAGATTTCCTCCTAGCCAAAGCTCTGAAAAAATGAGCCCTTTGAACCCTCGCCTTCTGTTTCTGAAGCTCGATCTGAAGCCGAGTTTTTTCCTCAAGACTCTCACGCATATCTTTCTCAAGACTGGCACGCTTCTTGACCTCTGCGGCCCAGCCGAGAAACCCATGGCCAGCAAACCACGCATCATAGACATAGAATGATGTGGAGACGTTTTGAATCTATTTCAATATCATAGGTGCGATATTAATAAACGAGATACTGTACTAAATATGTATGTATGTAATGTAATGTAATGTAATGTAATGTAATGTAATGTAATGTATGTATGTGTGTGAATATATACATTATATATACATACACAATCATACACACATATTATTAATTATATCGACATAACATAGAAATATTACGAATTGTCTTTGGCTTTCACCGGGAGCTGCAGCTGAGCTGTGAGGCATGATCCATCATGATCCCTTTGACCGCTGCCGCATGCTGCCGCGCAGCCTCTTCCATGACCTTCTCCTGGCTCTGTTGAACCATGATGTTGAGCTCCTGTGCTGTGCGTTCATTTTGCCTTAGTTCCAAACGTTCCAAGATGTTCCAAGATGTTCCAAGATTTTCCAAGATGTTCCAAGACAATACGGAAAGCATGGCTGTCACACCAAACAGGGAAACCAAGAAAATAAAAATCACGATGGAGTGCAAGAATCTACTGCGAAGAAATGCAAATAATGCAAATGTCAGCAAAACATGTAAAGAGTCAATTCATAAACACAAAGTTCGCACTGTACACAATCCTTCTGCGAATACATTCTTCCGATCCTTCTCTATCGTTCTCTACCCTCACCAAATGTCACCAGCTTGTCATGCCAAGCAGCTGTTCAACTTCCTGCCGTTGACTTTCCCAGTTGCGATACTTCTGGTCACACTCCTGCACTGCATGGCAACTCGGTTCAAAAGCAAAAACTTTGTGTTGAAGTGCTCTGCGGATATGCACAGAACTCTCACCAAAAATACGGAAGGCTGTTGAGAATAAACTGCCTAAAGAAAAACATGCATTAGATTCATTAGATAATTAGATTATTATATAGATTCATCATACTTCATCATGCTGCACCTGAAGTCTGCAACTTGTGACACTCTTGTGCTGGACATCCCATTGGGTCATTGGGCCTTCGCGTGGGTTTTCAAGGCATCTTGTTGCTGTTGAAACTCGGCCACCTCAATCTGCAGCTGCTGCTTCTGCCTCAGATCGTGCCATGTTGTGATTCAATCTTTCACTCAATTATCAAAGCATTTGATTCAGATCGCATTGGGTAAAGGTAGCTATCAAGAATTATCGTGCGATGGTTCGAGAAACAAATTGACATAAATTGACGTTTCCTGACATCCACTGACTGCCTTAGATCAGGTGACATCGGTGACATCTCAAAACCAGCTCAGTGACATCTGCATCTCATCGCGGACGCGTTGAAGCTCTTCACGGTTGCGATCCGCCTCCAAGAGTCTGGCCTGAAGCTCTTGCTGCCGTCCTTTCCTTAGAATCAGCATCACTGAATCACTCAGTATGACTCGACCCAAAAAAGGTGGCCACAAAACTCAACCAGTCAGATCCAGTCAGTATAACATGAATTAAGATGACTGGTTGACATCCGCAAAAAAAAAAAACTCGAAAGCCACACATACATACAGACGTCTATCAGACACCGCTGTTAGACATCAATTTGTCCACACCAACCGCTGATATTTTGGGTGCCAAGACTCAACAGAGACTCTCGCTGTTCCAAATCCTTCTCCATGCGCAGCAGCTGTTCATTGTTCCGCTCTTGCTTCAGGGTCTCCTCCAGTTCCTGGACAGCAAGGTGATCACTGGAAATCACTGGAACATCTCAATTAGAGTAATCAAATACAACAGCCTCTAACCATAAAATGGGTATATTGCATCTGTTAATTTTATAGTATTCATTCAAAATTATACGTGGGATATAGTGGCTGATAATATCAGAAATAATCGGTATCAACCATATTAATTGATATGAATGGCGTGATATACTGTGGAACGTGTAAGGTTATAGTTGATGACATGAATGGGATGTAACTTGATATAACCATATTGATGGGGCATAATGTGGCGTAGATTCATATTATATCATCTTATCATCATTTATTACTTATACTTATAATCCTTATAATCTATAATCACAGTGATGGGGGTATGTGGGGATAGATGAACAGTCAAAAACAACCAAAGATACCAAAGAGGACTTGACCACAATGAACTGCAACACATTACATAATCAACCGATTTCACTTATCATCTTCTAATCCTATGGCATTGATCATTTTGTAAGCGGAGGGGGTACTTAATGCAAGTGCCCATTAAGAAAAATGCCATTGAATTGGACATGATGGCCGTCTGTCTGTCTGTCTGTGTTACTTTGTTTGTCCCTTATTTGGCCCTCAGTTCTGTCAAAAGAATTGAATGTTTAAAAGGACTGGTGCACAAATTAAAGCGCTGTTGAGCATTGCATTCTGTCGCATACTGTAATTGCATGCAAGTATAAGTTACCATCAATGCTGGTATGTTATTGCCAGCGTTGTCCATGGTCACTTGCTGCTATGCCTGACCACACCAGCTGAACACAGTCCTGGCAACGTTGTTCCAAACTTTTTGACCTGGTCTGGGCTGTGAAGAGCTTCTCCTCCACATCACGTTTCTCCTGCAACCTCTCCTGTGCATGTTTTTCTTTGGGTAGGGGGTGGGGGCAAGTACATGGGCAGCTTTGCCTTTGCATAGCCGTGTTTTTGTCAACGTGTGTTTACAGTAGTTGGACCTTAGTCGAAATCTGCAGCCTTCGGAGGAGAAAATGAAAAACTTCAATATATTTCAATATGTGTCATGATATTTCAATGTGCTTTAATCAGCTTTAGTCTCAAGAACTGTCAGACTGTCAGACCCCAGGCTCCTGGACCTCACGTTGGCAGTCCCGCTGTGTCTTCTCCCGTGTCGCACGGGTGTCGTCCATTTGCTTTTCCATGCGCTCCTGTAACTCTGCAGGAGCTATGGCAGCTATGGGCTGGAGACTTCACAGATGGCAACTTTGCGCTGGTATGCAAGGGGCGAGATGGTAAATTAAACTAATAATAAATTCGTTTGTAAATAATGGAAATTAGTAATTTCTGTAAATGCTTGGAAAACTCCCCAACTGCCAGCGTTGAGCTTTGCAAACCTGCCATCGCGTGCGCCTGTCGCACCTTTAAATTCCTGGCTTCGTCTGACTTTGCTTTCAATTTGCGCTCAAGTTCAGAAATTTTCATGTCCTGTGCAGCATTTTGTGGAAAAAAACTGAGGCACAATATTGTTGGGAGGGGTTGCTGCATTTGACATCTGAGGCTGAGTCTCTCTGATTCAGCTGCGGTCCTTCTGGTGAAGTTCGCTTTCCATCAGCACGCCCTGGTCCAATTTGGCCTGCGGTTCATAAAACCATTTCGAAATATTCCACTGTTGATTCCACCATACTCGGCATGGGGTGAGGCTTAAAAACAACATAGAACAAAATGTTGCTACCCACAGGTTATTAAAGAACTGTTGTAACGACTAAACAACGGAACTCCCACCTGGATCTTGCGGCGAGCATCTGCCTCCCGCTCAAGGCGCTGCTCCATTTCGATGAGACGTTCCGTCAAGTGCTGCACCTTCCAGGTTCATGTTGTGTAATATATATATATATCTCTCTCTCTCTCTATCATATTACTACATGGCAAAACAGTGTAAAACATTGTGAAGGTAGATGACTTTGGGGCTACGGGATCAAAAGGGATCAAAAAAAAACACAAAAAAATAAGGACCCTGGAATACTTCACGCATAACCATGAATAGTTCCTAAACTAGTTGCAGCATGTTGCAGCAACACATTACCATGCGTTATACATCATTCTAACTAGTGCCGCACAAGGCGGTCAGAGAAGAGCAGAGCAGAAGAAAGAAGATCAGAAAAGAGAACGAGTCAGAAGATAGAAGATGCAGGTGCGCGAAAAGGTAGAAAAGTCGCGATTCACTCTGTTTTTCCAATGATTTGTGGCTCCGGAGGGTCGAAAAGTAGGCTCGCTAAAGCGGCGGTTGCGGAGCCATGTGGTCAGATGAGAGATGAAAAGTTGCACGCCGTTGTGGCGCGAAGAACATTTCCAAGTCAAAATGCACAAAACACACCAACGCCGGACCACTTTTGGAAGTTGTGATGTCGAAAAGGTGCACGCCGTTGTGGCGCGAAGCACATTTCGAAGTCAAAATGTACAAAGCACCAGGGGTTCGGAGCACTTTTAGAAGTTGCGATGTCGAAAAAGTGCACGCCGTTGTGGCGCGAAGCACATTTCGAAGTCAAAAGTGTAAAAAGCTGACTGGTTCGGATCGCTTTTGGACGTTCAGTTGTCGGGATTATGCACTTGCCAAAAGTGAGCACAAGGTGAGGGTTTTGTGGCGTTTCCTAAAACGATGGCGGGCGTGGGACATATGCAGAAGATCTGGCAAGATGCATTTCGCGTGGCAGGCGCAGTACAAGAGACATGTTCATCAGAGATGTTAGGAGGTCCGGGTGCTGATTTCCGGAGAGTTGTTGCATTTTGGAGCATCAGACCTTCAGTTTTGGGAAGGATGGAAGGTGATTTTGCGTGACAGGTGCAGCACTTCGTATGACCTGGCTTCACTTTTTCGAGGCAGGCGCAATACTTTTTGGACAGATCACAAAACGCATTGGTACGGCCGTCACCTCTGCACTCAACTTTCCATTTTTGAAGGAAGTCTCGCAGAATTGCTTCGTTTTTGATGTTGTCAACTTCGAAAAATGAGGAAGTCTCGCAGAATTGTTTTGTTTTTGACGTTGTCAAGTTCAAAAATTAAGGAAGTCTCGCAAAACTGCTGCGTTTTTGATGTTGTCAAGTTCAAAAACTGAGGAAGTCTCGCAGAATAGCTTCGTTTTCAAGTTTACAGATAGGCAGATAGATAGGTAGATAGACAACAACAACTGCAACCTCAACTGCAACTTCAACTGCAAGCACCACTACACTACACTACACTACACTACACTACACTACACTACACTACTATACAACTACAACTAAGTGCAAATATACTATGCTACATTACACAACACGAATTACACTACACTACACTAATTAAATCTAATTACGCTAAACTACGCTAACTACACTACGCTAACTACACTACGCTAAGTACACTACGCTAACTACACTACGCTAACTACACTACGCAAACTACACTACGCTAACTACACTAAGCTAACTACACAACGGTACGCTAACTACACTATATGCTAAGTACACTACGCTAACTACACTACGCTAACTACACTACTTTTTCATCTGTCCATATTGTCGGAGGTTTGACTTCTAAACTTCCTTCGACCATACATTATCACTAGTGAGTGATTACCACAAATTACACGATCGCCATTTCACTGAGACAGGGGCTATCATTATCATTTTTGGGGGTATATACTACTTATAATGGAGTATCTCCCGGTACTCCCCCCATTTTAAGACAATTCCATATGATTCACACGGCGTGAAGGAAGTCACAGATTTCTCTGCTGCCCTGCCTGTTGAGCCTCGATCTCTCGATCGTTCATGGCCTCTGTGGAGGCAAGCCGTATTTGCTTTTTTGGGGGGGACCCCGGAAAAGCCCAATACACTTTTTTCATATGATTTCGAATTATGAAATTGTATAGTATTAAATTACATCACACTGTCCTCCGAATATCTCACCATTCTCTTGGCACAAAGTGCACAAACAGGCTAAACAGAAAAATCTTTATAAAAACATCCCCAAATCCGAGCCTTGTCCAGCTCCTTCTTCAGTGCCTCCGTCTCTTCCTTTGCAGCTAAGCGATTCTCCAACACTCGGTTGACTTCTTCCACGATCTGCTTCTGCAAATCCGAGCTGGGCTTCTCAGGAAGGGAACTGTCAGAGTTGCCACGTTTCACCATCTGTGGACTTTGTGGATGGATGATCGTGTCTTCCACTGGGACTTGCGTCTGTGGCTTGGCACTCTCCCGCCGTTCTCGGTATTTCGGCATGGGTGATGCATAGGGCATGGGGCCAGCCTCATTGGCAATGCCAGCACCGTGCATGGGGGAGACAGCATCCAAACCATGCCATTCCAAGCGTCGGCCCATTCCGGGGCGCGCAGTCATGGCCTCATCAAAAGCCACCTGGTAAGGCACTTGAGGAATCTGAGGATTGGGCTTCTCCACATTCTGCATATGATGCGCATTCATTGGCGTTGGCACATGGCTGTTCCTCTGCGGAATGGGAGACAAAGCTCCTTGACGTGGATCTGCACACAAAGCATAGGTAACTCGAGGTGGTGGGCTGTGTGCCCTGGCATGAGGATTGTGAGGATGGCTTGGCTTCATAAACTCCATGGGGTCTTGGACAACTGGTCCCTTGTAACTCGGTGTAAGCACTGGCTGCTTGGTCCATGGCACTGGGTCCACCCGGCGGTCGGGGGAAACAGCGCTAATGGACCTCACGGCCGGGTTTACGGCCGGGTTTCGCGCATACACGGCCATGACAGTCGGACGGAAAAGTCGGTTGGACTTTACCCTGGAGACTGTCTTCAGTCTTCAGACTTTGAGCAGCTTGCCGGCGGATAGATTCATCATTGCAGCCATTGCAGATTGAAAGATTTGAACAAATTTGAATGTGAAAACAAAAGCGAAAGCAATGAACATAGAAATCCGAAGGAAAAGGCAGCTAGCACAGAGCTGGATGGGTCTGGCATCTTCACGTTAGTGCCACTTCCAAGCATTTCCTCCTCATGTGACAATATGTCCACCACAAGTTCTTTGAATTCTAGGTCACCAGGATTTCTCAGCGCTAGTCTGTGCCTCCTCGCACCGCAGTCCAGACCTCTGGAGATTTGGCATTTGGAAAAAGTTCTGCAGAACCCACTGGATGTGAAGAACTTGAGAGCAAGCGGGGCAACATGAGGTCCATTGAGGTCCTAAGACCATCTTGGACACTCTGAGTTGTCTTGTGGGATCATTGCGACTGCTGCAGAGTCCACCCGTGAATCTCAACATTGACAACCATGCCTTGCCTGTTTGAGTGAGAGCTCTTAGCTGTCTGCAAAACCCTGAGACTAGCGGACTAGCGATTCCAGTTCGCAAACCTGGCACTAGTCGCTTGGTTTTCGGCTCAGCTTGACGCGGATGACCTCAGCATGCTACCGGCCCTGGAGCATCAAATCTGGAGTGATGTTTTTCTACCTTTGCCACACTCCATTGGAAATGCAAAAGTGAAAACTAAGTGTAGCTCACATCAGACCAGCGAACCCCCTCAACATCCTCAAGTATACAATACATTTCACCAAAACATGTTTTAGAATGTTTTAGAATGTTTTAGATTTTAGATATATACAAAAAATGGTTGATGTTTGTGATCTTGTGCCGGAGAAACAACTGTACATAGGATCCTTCTCTCTGCAATTCGAACTCACGGATCAGGCATCTGATCAGAGTCCATCATCCATAGAAATTCTATGATAATTGGTTCCAATATGTTCCAATTGAGCCTGTACCAAGATATACCAAGATACTACATGATCTACATGCCACCAGCTGCAAAGCCGTTGGACCGGCAATGGAGCGCGTCCACTGAGAACTGGACTCGAGCTGGTGCTGGAGATGGCAGCTTGGGCACTGTGGATTGCCTCAGTCCCAAACTGCAGTTGCCAGCTTTGCTGAAATTCCATGAAATTCCTGACCTCCTGGACCCTGCCTCTTTGACATCCTTCGGCACCAATTTCTGCAACCTCAGAGCACATGTCTATTGTGATTTAGGGAGGTAATGATTTGGGGAATTTCAAGATATTACTGTAGTAGGGCTTTTGCCATCATCTATCATCTATCCTTTTCGTCTTCACATCACACGCAAATGTTCACAGGGTTGCCAACCAAATCAATGTAAGTTTCACACATTCACACCTGTATCAACAAAGAATGAGCCTTGAATACAACTTGAGTTGAGGGAATTGGCAACATTCGGCAACCAACTATTTGACCATGTCCCACTTGCGAAATGTTGCTCACCCAATCGGCCACAATCGGCCAACTCGAAGCGAATTGGACTTAGCTTTTGGCTTCTTGAACATCGCAGCACTCCCATATATTTCCGTGCAACGGAGCAGCCAAATGTGGCAAGCTAAAATTTGTTGAATCAGTTGGGCTTTGACAGAAACAGGTGAAGAAAGGCCCGAGGCGGGGCAAATCCAAAGACAACTTCTGGTGGGGCCCCGGGGTGCCGTGACATTGCAAGCCATGGTGGGCCCGTGCTAATTATATATATATATATATCTATATCTATCTAATTAAATGCATATATCATATAAATATAACATCCATATACCATCCATATACCTACGTCGTCCTGCGTCGCTGTCTAGTGTCTAGATCGAACTGAATAGCTGCAGGTCGGCTTGTAGTTCTTTTGATGCAAATGGCCACATCGATGCCTTAAAGTGTCGAAAAGAAATGGCTCTGGCTCAAGATGCTGTCATGTGTGATCTCGGATCCATTGCCCTATTTACGACGACAATCCCAGTGTCAAACTGCTCACATGCAAGGCCAGGAAAATCACAAACAAAATGAAGAAGATAGCACATCTTGGCCAGTGAGCTGAAGATTCTGGTTTGCAGGCGTTCTAATTTTCTTCCAATTATGCTAACAGAGACAAAGCTGATCTCCCTAATCTAGTTCTGTCCTCGCACTTTTTGCTGGCCTGTTCTCCTCAAGCCCAGTTTACAGGTGAAACGGAGATGATGACTCGCTCCATTTAGACTCCTCCCACGTGCGTCAAGATTGTCAATATTGCACTATATTGCACTATGTTCCCGGCATGCCAAATCTCCGTCCATTCCCTATGTTTCCCTTAAGTAGACATTGGAATTGGATCAAGTTGGCCTAAACGATAGCTGCATTGTCTGTATGATGTGTGGCTTCAGTTTCATGTGCAGTGGTGGGTAATTGAAAGATATTGAAAGAGGAGAAACCAGGATGCCCTTAGCAAGGCAGGCTCGTCATTTTCTCGCCTTCATACATGCTCCGCGGATCTTGGAGGCTCGTTGCAGTCAGGTGGCTAAGTCAAAGAGCTATGTACCTCTTTCATCCTCTTTCTCCATTTGAGTGTGAAGGACACACAACCAAATAATCTAAACACTATATATTGTATCCTTGTCTATTCGCAGCTTGAAGGGCCGGGCCAGACTTTGGGCCAGCCTAGAAAAGCTATTTCTCAGATGCTTCGGCACTCCATCAATGGGCAAAGCCAAGGAAGAGCATGCCTTTGTAGACTTATGCCTTCAAATAAGATTGAAGGCGACCAATGGCGACCAACTTCCACCTTCACGTCACTTTCCACTGCACTCTCCAACCATGAAGTTCGGAGCTTGTGGGAGCAATGCAAGTCCAGGGGTTTCACTGCAAAGTTGCGCTGAACATTTCCTGTAAGAAAAACAGTATTGTATCTATACATATCATCTATACTATCTATACAATTGTATCTAACCTCCACCACTTGTTTCATCCAAAGCTCCCACTTGTCGTGCAAAAGCTATTTCTTGCCTCCAAGGATGATCAGGCTCCTCCAGTTGTTTCATCTCAGGAAAAGCCTCAGATGATCAGAGCAGTCCACCAAAAACCGATAGCCGATAGACCCACCAACGTCTCAACTGACTGACTGCCAAATGGTTCAATTTGCATTGTAGAATCCGCGCCTTCCCGCGGACTGGATTTGCAGTGAAAAGGTTAACTATATAAGTTGAATCGAAACCAAGTGAGCTACTAGAAGCCAAACTGGTGCTCCTTGACAAGCGAGAGACCAGGCTACTAGGCTCGGCTCTTTATATCGCTTAATATTGTCCCCCAATGTCCCCAATCCACTGCAGTCTGTGGCTACCCTTTTTCAAGGATGCCATATGATGCCATGCCAGGTGCCCACAAATAAAGTCTCAAGTGCGGACATGCAGCTTGTGAAGTGAGGTCATCATCATCGACAGCATGGTCTATGATCAAAACGCCATTCAAATGGTCCAGTTCGTGTTGAAAGGCACGAGCTGCTTCACCTTCCAATGTCACTGTGTATGATCCTTGCAGATCGAAGGCATGGACCTTGATCCTGGCATCCCGCATCAGGGTGACCAAAACATCAGGCGGCAAAACCAAGCAGCGTTCGCGCCACCATCGCATGCTGTCCTCTGAGCTACGCTCCACAACTTGTGGATTCACAAACACCGTCCGCGATGAAATTGAAGGGTCAAGGACAATGATGCGGGCATCAACACCTACCTGACTTGCCGCTAGCCCCACAGCACCCTCGGCAGCAGCGGTAGTTTGTAAAGCTTCTGTGAACAGCTTCAATGCAGGCTGATGGAACATGGATTCTGCAACTGGACTAGCAGACATGCGGAGCATTGGATCCGGATACTTTGCCATGGGCATGGAACGTAAAGCTCCAGATTCCAAAGTTTTTGCTGCTTCCGCCAGAGAACGTTTTGGAATATGCGTCCCTGACCAATTTGCAGCGCTGGCTGGTCCAGACAAAAACAAGCAAACCAGCAGCATCGTCCAAGCACCCCATAAAGTCTGCGGAGAACAGAAAGGCACAGACTCCACAACAGGCCCCTCTTGCAATTTTCGTTGAATCAGGTTTGCTTGGGTTTGTAGGCGCAACCTCCTCTTTGTCACACATGCCGGGAAGGCATTGGATGGCCGTGCTGTCAAGTGTAGTTGGCTGCCAAATCCCAGGCAAAAACACAAGGCTGGAACAGCCAGCATGGCTCAAACATGCTCAAGCTAGCGGTGAGAAGCTCATTGTGCAGCTTGTCTTCGATTCTGGGGCACTGGCTGCGGAAAAACAAACTATTCTCAGCCTGCATACCTCTGAATCAGTATTTCGAAACAGTCAATGCAGCATTGTGCAACTGGAAATGGCACTGCGGCGACATGTGTTGAAGGCAAGCACGTGAGCAACCGAGACGAGCGTTCACCAGAACCTGTACTGTACACTGTACTGCGACTCTCCTTGTTGATGCAAAGTCGGCAAAGGTCGGCACTTTGCAGCCTCAAGTCAGCTCATTGTGTCATTCAAGTGGCCACAGACAAAACGCCTTCAAACCCTACGCATGGATTTATTCAAGAATGGATAGATTTGCTTGAAAACTGCATCGCTCACAGAATTTTATAGACGTGGCAACTAGTAAAGAAAACATCTCTGAGCAAATGACAGCTTAAAGCGTGTCTCTGTGGCCTGCAAAGGGGGCATGGAACCTCTTGGCTTGGAAACCAGGCTTTCAAGTCTGCAAAATTAAAAGAAATGGGTTGGCTTGAAGATTTGATTCCAGAATTGAGGCAGAAAGCTTGGAGGCATGCAAACTCTGCATATACTCTGTTCAGTCTTCACACAGACAGAGACCCCCGTCAACCCCCCATCCCTGCATCTGCAGCGTTTTCCCGGCATCCAGAATCAGTGCCACGCAGGCAAATATGGACCCGCAGGGCCTGAGCTGTTCAATCTTTCGACTCATTTCGACTCATTTCGACTCGTCCCCCTGAGTCTCAGCTTCAGTCCGTTCAGTCATTCCTCTGGCGTTTTGCGGCGCTCTCACAACACTCATCCTCTTCCATGATGACGGCAGCCGGCTGCCACAGCTGCAGATTGTCTTCAGCCACGGAGCAAAAAAGGAAGTCATCCAAAGGGGCCAACCCGAAATCATTCACGGCGCCATGATGACCGCTATGAATGAAAAGAACCTCTGGAGCTTCGCCATCCTCATTCGGCTCATCAGCTGACATGTTCCACAAAATGGTCTGGCCACCTGCACAGGCAGACGCCAAGAAATGGTTTGGAACACCTGAATCGGTGACCTCGCTTGGACACCATTTGACCTGCACCACTTCTCCACGATGGCCCTTCAGAGACTTGAAGGGTGTGTGCACTTTGCGCATGTCCCAAATCTGCAGGACTCCATCTTTGCCGCCAGTCAAAAGCAAGTGGGATTCGGACAGGTTCCAGTCTACACTCAATTGCTCTGTTGCAACTTGAAATCCAGAGGCTTTGGATTTGGAACGAATGTCCCAAATGACAGTGGCATGATCCTCTCCAAGTGTAACCAACTGCTGGCCATTGGCAGAGTGACACAAATCATTCAAGGGTCCTTCATGCGCCTTGGTAGACCAAAGCTTTGATTTGGCCTGTACATCCCAGATGCTAAGCAACCCATCATGCCCACCAGTGCTCAAGAAATGCACATCTGAAGGGCTCCATTCCAAAGCATATCCTTCAACTGGCTTCTCTTCGGATAACGTGGCTTTACAACCTGCCGATCCTTCTGATCCTCCTGATCCTTCTGGACTCTTGCAGTCATAGAGGAACACATTGCCACAGCATCCCTTGACGGCAAGAAGCGAAGCTTGTGTTGGGCAGGCGGCGATTCGATTTGCATCCGAAGGCATCTTGAACTCCACGGCCGTTCGCAACGGTGCTTGATCTTTCATGCCCTTGAGACCGAAGCCACTCACAGCGCCCAAATCCTCAATGCTCCACGTTTTCCAAGGTTCTTCGGAAGATTCATTGTCCACCAAGCAAGTGAGTTCCAGCACCAGGAGCTTACCTGCCCATGTCCAAGGTCCCATGTCCAATGTCCCAGGCTTTCCAAATCTGTCTTATGCTGTTGCAGTTGGTCTAGCAAAGTCTATAGCTCGCAGGATTACATTAATTACACTTTATCGGGCTAAATTATTCTCAAAGCCAACCCCCACAAGAGTCCCTGCAACGAAAAGGCAGAATGAACGTGAGATGCATGGAGATGCCAAGATACTCCTCTGACATCCTTTTTGCCGGAGGCCAACTGCCAATTTGGTCGGTTCGTCCTCCACGTCTGGGAGCCAGGACACAGATTGTGCTGTTTGCTCCAAGTCACCTCCGATTAGTGGGGGAGTGCAAATACATTTTGCGCCTAAAGGTCTGTCAAATCTGTCAATGTTGCCAACACTTTTCGACTTTAAAACACTCAATTCCGGCCGATGCAGTGGTAATTTCTTGGTATCAGATGGTATCAGCATGTGTGGCAGGTGTCTTTGCAAATCTGTGTGCGTCCATCTTGTGGAAAGGAACAGAAATGAACGAACAAACGCAAGCAAGCTGTAGCTGACACAAGGCAAAGAGGTCGTAAAGCAGTGGCGCATTCTTGCGCCACACCAGCTTCTCCTCAAGGTCCTGCGAACCGAACACCAAACATGTGAGTCTGCCCCGTAGGCTTTGTCAAAGTGTGTATGACCTGATACCCGATTCCGTAGATGTCGCAAGACTAGCAGGGCAAGGTGACATGACTCATGACTAAATCTGCACGCTGCAGGTCCTCAAACGCGCTTCGGCGAACCTCCACGGCCAAGTTGTCATCCTCCCTTGGTGCAGAACTTCCCCCGGCCATGGCGAGGCTCCACAGAAATCCGGTCCCTGGATACACGCGCTGTTTCGCGAACCTGAAGGGCAATGGAGGCGTAAAGCTTCGTAGATCGTCTGCTGTCTTTTGACATCTTAAAACATCGAACACTTTGGAACATGTTTGATCCAACTCTGTTCTCCGATACTTGCAGTTTACAATGGTTTATGCTTTTCATCATTGCATGAGGCACCCCTGCATGTGCTCACACAACCTTGTGACCTCCAAGCCAAACCAAAGCAGGGCAGCGGGAAAATTATGGGAAAAATTGACATTGTGCTTGAAGTTGGGCATGGTTGGAATGCACTCCAGTACAGTGCACGCTAGAAACTTTGGATCTGGTTTGCACGATTTTGCAGGCGGGCCTGCTTGAATGCACGTCTCTGCGCAAAACATCGCAAAAGCGCTTCATATACTGCAAATCATAGACATAAAGCCAGGCTCTGCTCTGCCCTGAAACTGTCTCGCCTGCAAGTGTCCATCTGCGCTAATGTGTTCCTAATGTTCCCGAATGCAATACGTCCAATGAGATCAGAAAGGGCTGTGCAACCGCAACCTTTCTGAAATCGGCAGATGTGAAGCCGTAAGAAAAAAATCAGCGAGTGGAGCTCTATGTGTGCGCATGTTTGTACATGTTTGCGCATGTTGTAGTCAACATGTCTTGCTGCTGCGCTTGGTGGCTGGCCTCTGGCCGCTCTTTCTAAGCATGCAACGCCACCCGCTAAGACTGAATGGTAATGACATGCATCAAACAGTCAGACCCAGTGAAGGCCTCTATGTTTCCTTTGATTTGTGTTCAGTTGCAGTTAGTATTGTAGTTCTAGCAGTTGCTCCCCGACTTTCTTGGATGTCAGACTATACAACTCAATATCCTTACTCTCTACATCTCTCTCCGTCTCTCTGACTTTGTCTCATGCTATATTTGCCAGTTTCTGCTCCACCTTTTTCCGAAACATCTGCGCTGCACTTCTGACCAAAGCCGCTTCAGCACAGCGACGGCAGGTCTCCGCCTCCCAAGGCCTCAAATTCCCCCTGGACACCCGCGACTAGGCAACACAAAAACCACTAGGGGAATGTTGGCATGTCATGATGGCTGGTGTTTGATATGGGTGTATTTGCGATCAAAACAGATGGAAGAAGTATAGAATGTGCATAATATGCATAAATAATATGCATAATATGCATAACGGGCTGACAATTATCACATCACCCTTCATCAAACGTACGTTAAAAGTGGGATCCCTCGCATCCTAGCCAACATCCTTGCACAAAAGATCACAAAAGTATACGCAAGAGAGAAGGCTGGAGACGATCAGGGATTATGACTAGAGCATTCAAATGATTGGTGGTTGTGCATGATAAATATTCACACACTTTGCATACCCTTTGCTCCTTTCTCATCTGCCACATCAGTTGAAACCAAAATCTGTGTGGCTCTCACCCAAAGTGACGCCAAATAAAGATGAATAAAGTCCAGGTGCGGAAGCCTACTCTGCTTGAGCTGCTGGATTTCCACCGGCTGCCCGTCACTGTTGCAAACCAAGTCCTGCAGATCAAATCGATGAAGTAGTCTTTCCCATCTGCTCAGTAATTCATGTGGGACTGGAGGTTGCAATACTTTGAATGTCGGCTGAATCAGCAGTTTCTCATGCTATCTATTGCTATCCCATATGATTGGGCTCCGGACTGCCATGATGCCGTTGAAGCCGATAGCCCAGCGCGAAGTTGTGAGTAGCAGGGCCCCACCATCACTGAGCTCAATTGCCTCCTCAGCGAGAGCCAGGCCAAAGGAATCCAAAGGAAAGTCGCAAGGATTGAACCGAGATCAGCAGGGAATTCAACAGAGTCTAACAGCTAACAGGGACTTTGAACGTAGAAACATGTGCCGGAAACTGCATGAAACTGCAAGATACTGCAACTCCGCGCGGCAAAGCTTCACATCTCCTGCTCCTCAGCTTTTCCATGTCTTTGGCACATCTTCTCGACCACAAAATATCACAAGTGCCTCACAGCAATCTGACAAGAGAAGTGTGCACTTACATGAACACTTGGCCATACTTGGCCTGAGAAAGTTTGGACACCTTTTGGACACCCTATGTTGCAGAGCTGATGCTCTTTCAGTTCACTCAAACTTTTTTGCTTCTCCACACATTGGCAGGAGTCGTAGCATATGGTACATGGATGATGAGAGTCTTGTGTCTCTGGGCCTGGGAAAATATGTTTCCCAAGGGTTCCAAATGAAAATCATTGCAGTCCACCATGCTCCAACTGTCGCCTCATGGCGGTCTCTTTTCCACTGCCGTCCATGAGAGACACCTCCAACCACCATGGCTTGGAGGAGAGATCAGTGGAGCCATCCGTTAGATCTGGCACCTGCTTAAGTGACTTGAGTGCGGTACATCCAAGTTCTTCCCAAATCATTCCAGCTAAGCTTTCTGGAGTGACACGCATGTGTGGGACCACTTGGCAATCCTCTTCTGGTAAGCTAAAGATCAACTTGCCATCAAATGTGATACACATCTGGCCCTTGGCAGAACACATTTCTGTAGTTCCACTTGCCAACTTGGGCAGCAGGATCTTGTGCATCAACATCTTGCAGGCAGAAGCTGCAGCCTCTTGCAAGGTGCAGGTATCGACCCCAACTGCCGCAGCCAAACGAACTTTCACTGCGAAGCTGTCAGCCAGGAGCCTGGGACGTTCATTCTGAGATGCTGCCAATCTGGTACAGCAAAACTTCAAATCCGGTCCTTGCACCAAGACCTCCCACAAACGACCAGCCGGAGTCCGTTCTGTCCGTTCTTTCTCGGCCGATGCCTGTGGCACCTCTGGCAGAAAGCACCTGGTTGGTGGCACCGGCTCCACCGGCTCCACCGGCTCTGCCATCGCGGCCGGAAGCTGAGCTGACAGAACTTGCGCCGAGGACTCCGTGCTCTGTGCCCGGGACCTCTCTGAGTCGCGCTCACAGGCTACACACAATTCTCTTCCATCCCGAGATCTCAGAAGAGGAGTTAAGTCTTTCTCGCACGATTTATTCAGCATACACCAGCCTTCCAGCAAGCGACTGGCGATCAGTTTTGGAACATCGGCCATGGCTCTTCGCTTATTATGGGTGGCTCCAGCTCTAAAGCACGCGTTCTTCTTGCGTTTGTGAAGTGTGCTTGCCAGATCATGCGGAGGTGAAAGCGGCTTGACGTTGACATATCTGTCTTGAGCGCGCATGTGCAGTGCATTATATAGATGTAGGGGTTGGTGCGTTATGTGGGTGTGCGGTTGGTGGGTGGCCAGGCTAGATGAATGGATGCTATGTGGATTTTGTCCGCGTGGTGGCGCGTGTGTTGTTCATTCAGCATTGGCAAGCTGAGGAGAGCCGAGCGTTCCGAGCCAATCCGAGCCGCGGAAATGTACGGATTGCAGGACAATGTGAGAACCCGAATCAGCACATATCAAGAGCCTGAAAGAATGCCAGCCCTGGCCCAATAGTCCTCAAATGATTCAAATGTTTTGCAGAAACTGTGATTGAACTGAATAAATCACAGACCCGTACCACATGCATACTCCACCAAAATCAAGTGGGACAAGTAGAGGTTGTTGGGCTAATCTGGCGCATTGTGCCGCATTCTGTTCCGCATAAATTGACTTTTAAAAAAAGGCAAAAGGCATAAGGTGTTCTCTTGTCTTGAGCATCCCCATCCCATCCGGCTTGCCTTTGGAAGATTTGTCACGCAATAAATTGTTACAATTTTACATGATCTTATGTGGACTCCCTGCAAAGGTGTTATGGCCTCTGAGCTGGGATGATACAGCACAATATCTGAAGCACGGGCAGGCCGTGCCTTTGAACGCAGCTCCTTCACAAGCAGCTCAGAAGCAGAGGCCGTCTGTGCGGACACCGTGAAAGCCAGGCCCTCCGCTGCAAAAACCCAAGGTCTGAAGGTCCATGAGCGGTCTGATTTAACGACACCTCAGTGTCCTGGATGTGAATTCAAGCTGAAATCAAATGGCCAGTTCTGCAGCTGACCACTGCTGCATGGCTAGTGCCTCCCTTGCATCCAAGTGCGAAGTGACATACCGCATAAAGTGTCTATCATTTCGGGGAGGTGCAAGTGCTGCAGTGAGTCACTGAATGGATGCATTTGGTTAAAATCAGCGCCTTGAGAAAAGCAGCAGCGCGAAGCATTTCTGCTATCTTAAGAGCATCCCGCAGGCGGCCGCCACCTTAAGCAAGGTCAGAAGTTCAGGCCGAGCCAAACTGATTGCCTCATCGTGATTTGTGGTCTCTGCACGCTGCCGGCAAGCGCCTCTCAACAATGACAATACTCTCTCAAGTTCATTAAAAAAATATTCCTCAGCAAAATCAATCCAAAGGTTTTCAAATCCTTTGAAGAGCACCTGGCATGATCCGTTGCAACCTTTGTTCCCATCAGGAGAAGGCTCTTGCGATCTTGACAACAATAGCAATCCGCTAGCGATGGACGAGACCAACTTAGTTACTTCGTCGGCCAAAACATGCATAGGGTGAAAAATTGTTTTATAAATATGAAACTGCACAAAGATGCAGAATCATCCAAAAAAATATATATGTATTATTATGTATTATAAATTTTAATACCAGTAGTACCGCACAAGGCGGTGGCGGAAGTTTCAAAAATAGGAAACCTATAGGAGAGGTTGTGAATCAGGGATGGCAGAGCGAATCCACTGATGGATCGAAAGGTGATTGATCTCTCTCACTCTTTCTCTCTCTTTCTCTGACTATCTACCCACCTACCAACCTATCTATCTATCTATCTGTCTGGCTGTCTGTCTGTCTGTCTGTCTATCTGCCGACCTGTCTATCTGTGGTGCAGTGTCATTCAGTGTAATGTAGTGTAGTGTAGTGTAATGTAGTGTAGTGTAGTGGAGTGTAGTGGAATGTAGTGTAGTGTAGTGTAATGTAGTGTGGTGTAGTGTAATTTAGTGTAGTGGAGTGTAGTGGAGTGTAGTTGTGCATTCCTAGTTGTAGCTGTAGTGTGGTGGAGTGTAGTGTAGTGTAATGTAGTGAAGTGTAGTGGAAGGTAGTGTAGTGTAGTGTAATTTAGTGTAGTGTAGTGTAATTTAGCGTAGTGGAGTGTAGTGGAGTTTAGTTGTGTATTCCTAGTTGTAGCTGTAGTGTGGTGGAGTGTAGTGTAGTGTAATGTAGTGACGTGTAGTGGAAGGTAGTGTAGTGTAGTGTAATTTAGTGTAGTGTAGTGTAATTTAGCGTAGTGGAGTGTAGTGGAGTGTAGTTGTGCATTCCTAGTTGTAGCTGTAGTGTGGTGGAGTGTAGTGTAGTGTAATGTAGTGAAGTGTAGTGGAAGGTAGTGTAGTGTAGTGTAATTTAGTGTAGTGTAGTGTAATTTAGCGTAGTGGAGTGTAGTGGAGTGTAGTTGTGTATTCCTAGTTGTAGCTGTAGTGTGGTGGAGTGTAGTGTAGTGTAATGTAGTGAAGTGTAGTGGAAGGTAGTGTAGTGTAGTGTAATTTAGTGTAGTGTAGTGTAATTTAGCGTAGTGGAGTGTAGTGGAGTGTAGTTGTGTATTCCTAGTTGTAGCTGTAGTGTGGTGGAGTGTAGTGTAGTGTAATGTAGTGAAGTGTAGTGGAAGGTAGTGTAGTGTAGTGTAATTTAGTGTAGTGTAGTGTAATTTAGCGTAGTGGAGTGTATTGTAGTGGAGTGTAGTTGTGTAGTTGTAGTTGTAGTGTAGTGGAGTGCAGTGGAGTGTATTGGGTGCACGGATAAACAAATCTCCGGCGGGTTTGATGCACCTACAGAATACTCAATCCAGTGCATGCATCAAAAAAAATGAAACAATCTCACACAGCAAAATTAAAACAATTTCATACGGTGGAGAGGAATGAGGCTCCCACAGTTCTCCCTCAGGTCCACCACCAAAACGAACAGTCCCAACCTGATGGAGCAGAACGAAGTGACGCATTAGAGACATTTAGAGACAGCATCAACAAAACTCCGACTTGTTTGGAACCATTTGCTGCACATGTGTGTTGCATTTGCAGGTTCGAGGAGTTTGGATGCCCCATCTTGAATGTTTCAACATGGCAGAGCTCTTCAGAGTCCCACACCTTTCCATCTGCTGCAAAGCACGCTGCACTGGGGCAATCACATCTGGCCCATTGAAGCTGATGATGTGGATGCAACCTTCAGATAAGTCGAAACAATGCGTGTCCACACATTCGCGGCTGTATTACATAACCCTTTTGGATCCTTTTGGCCTGAGCCAGGCAACCCGCCACATCGGAGAGCTGCTGGAATTCAACTGCATCTACACGCATTCCCTGCCGCTGCACTCCAACCGCATATTCCTCGGTAGTGAAACGAAAACTACGAGTACCATGGTGGGATAAGGATGGCCAAACCAATGTAGAGCTGAAATCAACTTAGTGGGTGGAAAGCTGATCAACTATGATAAACCTGGATAGCTAGATCACCCATATGTACTTCCAACATCTTCCATGATGTTTGCAATCAAATGCAGCTCCTTTGAACAATTTCTCTAAGCATCAGCTGCCAAGATGCTACCGGAGGTGCCCAAGGCATTGAGCGCTGGAACTTCACATTGGCGATTGTCCCAGGCAGTCCCGGGATCCAACGAGCTGCATCCGAAGGCGTCCGGACGCGCTTTCCATCGACCTCCACGAGACGATCGCTGACTCGAACGCCTTTCTCCGCAGCGGGGCTCTTTGGCACCACTGAAACCACCTCAGGGGCGGCACCTCGACCTCGAGCCGTGTCTTGCGCAAAGGCTACTCCGATGCCAACCACGTCACGGCCAGCGGCCACATCGTTGATTTCACTCCACTCCTCTGGAGGGTAGTACTGCGCATATGGATCTCCAAATGTCTCCAGCATTCGGCTTACCACATCCACCAAGCGCTTGGAAGTGCCGTCACGTCTGTCCGAAGCAATATTCTCTCCCAACGGAGGAAACAAACTATCCACCTGCTGCTGCAGCAAATCTATCCACTGAGTCTTACGAAGCTCCTCAAGCTTATCTTTCAATGCCTTCGACCAGGCAAATGTGCCACCTGCTTTGGTCAAGCTGGTGTCCAGGCTGTACATGGAGGCCGCGGTCCTGCCAATCAAACGCACGAAGACCGATTTGATATTATGACTGATAGGTGACGACAATCAATTGCCCTCAAGTATATAGTTATAAAAAGGGCATAATATGGCATAACGGGGTATTTCATTCGAGGTCTCCATTTCCGTTGTCCCTTTAAGTCAGTTTAATATGCTGCTGCATGGTGACACAGTATGACACGGTGAAAAAAAAACAAGACATCTGCACCTTGCCGGGCTGAAAAATACAGAAAACATCACAAAACATCACGAAACCAGGCGCGGCGGGACATACATCTGCAAAAACATGCAAAAACTAGGGGGATCCAGGGGGTCTGTGTGCAAAACCTGTCCCGTCTGCATCCAAGCGCGCTTTGCGAACAATTTTCATCAGTTCGACGCAACAGCAGTCAGCACTCAGCTGCTCCGGGCATGTACGTCCCCTGCGTGGGGAGAGAACTCGACTCATAGGGCGTATTGTTCCTCTTGCATGTCCCATGCATGTCCCATCAACCCGGTCTTTGTCCAGTGATGTCCAGTGATGTCCAGTGTACGTTGGGTCGATTGCCTTTCAGATCGAAACCCCTGCTGCGCGCAAACTTGTCCACATATTGATGCTGACCACTTTGTGCATCGATGCTAGGATAAAATGATCAAGCAGCAACGCCAAGGGGATTCAAACATCCAGCCTGAACTTTCATCGTTCCACCACAAAGGTCAAAGCGTGCTTAAGGTCCTGTAGCCTTGTGTAACTTGACCAGGTCGAAGAGTCCGTTTGCATCGTCGCTTTCAGCTCTCTGGGCCAAATGCTCTAGCACTGATGAATGTCGCGTCTTAAACGCATTGGCAGCAGCAGCGATCTCGCCAACCGGCACAGCCCTGCTACCAGAAGCATCGATCGCATAAGCAACTTCTTCAGTGTCCATCTTAGAGATGTCAACCCCCCGAGCTGCCAAAGCTGAAAGCAGTGCATCCCAACCAAGCACAGCTCCAGGCATTGGACTGGGCATGAGATCCAACAGAACCATTTCCAAATCCACTGATGCAGCGAGACATGCCTTGAACAGGTCATCCACATGTCTTCTCAAAAAGACCTGACATTGCCTCGCCATGATGAGGAATCCTCTGTAACTAGACGAAGCATACGAAGCCGAGTTTGGTGCTCTGACAGCCAGGAATGCCCCAGCAAAGGTTTCTGCCAAGTCACGTTTCAATCCACTGGCGTCTTGCAGTAACCGGACTAGACCAGACAAATCTGCTGGAGCATCCAAGCCCCGAGACGTTCGACACGTTCGATCAGTTTGCTCTGCGCCGCTCCTGGTCCCACAGAGTTCCATCAACGCCTTGCGGATTTCTGCCCTGGCCTGTTGGAGGGTGTCACAAGTTCCACTGGGCCGAAGCCGATCCAAATAGTTGCAGAAGCGTCTGAAGTGTGCATAGGTCACAACACCATTCCCAGATGGATCATAAAGCAACTGGGCACCTGATACAAACTGCGAAACTGGCGATGGCCATTCCTCTAGTTTCCTCAACACTTCTTTCGACACATGGCCTTGATTCTCAACATCCAGGCATGCAAAAATCACATACGATGGCAAATCCAATCGGCTCAGTTGGCCCGTTGAGCTCACATCAAACATTGACACTGTTTCAGGAGACCCAGGGGTTCGCGAAGTCAGCCAACCTTTGTGGTCCGAATAGAGGGCATCCACGTCCAACAGGCCTTCAGGAGCCCATTGGCGGCCAACCTGCAGGGCGCATCATGGCATATCAATAACATATTAAATGACAACAGAGCAAAGAAACCGAGAAACGCCGAGGAAACAGTTGACCATGCATGACCATGGATCCGAAACAACAACTGCCGTTCCGAGCTTTGAGGAATGCGTCATAAATGTCATAAGCTCGATCGGATAACCCGACATATCACGACTGGCCAGCACGGATCAACCCAGCATCCCACCACCACGCCTCCAACAAGTCTGCCCAAGCCATGACGACGCCAGACTTCTGAAGGCATGCAGCGAACTGGTCCAGGTACACTTTGTTCTTCCCTGCTGTGCCACAAGATGTTCGCAACCGACTCCGTAGCTGTTCAGGGCCCATACCAATAGACAGCAAAGCTTGAAAGAAATGGCCAAACAATCCAGGTGTTTGAAGGGACTGGGGTGGGAGACCCCCAAAACCACTATGAACAAGCTCTTGGATGATATTCTGGGCACGCAGTCGAGGCAGGGCACCTTCAACAGATTCGACACTTGAAAGGCTCTTCAAGGCTTGCACGGCAGCTGACGCAGATGTTGGTAAGTGCAGCGCTTGCCAAACTTCAAGAGCACGACTCGTTCCTTCAGCATCAGTTTCTAAAATTCCTGCCAATGCTACTGGCTCAGGCGATGAGGAGCACCAAAGAATTGGTTTTCTATCAGAAACCTGAACTGCAGCAGCATCAAGTTGCTCTGCCACCAGGTTCACATCCAACTCACCAGCCCGTATCAAGCACAGGAGAGCTGAAATCAGCTGCCTTGCAGCAAAAAGCTGAGGCGCGACAAAGCCATCCGCAGCGTTTGCATTTGATGGCACCGGTGGAAAAGGCACATGGGCCGTTGCATCTGCAACTTGATTTTGCCAGAATGCCTCAGCTCTTTTCGATAGGAGCCGAGCTAAAGGACGTGCTGGGACCTCACCAGTGCCAGCAGGATCCAATAAGCTAAGCATTTCTTCAACCATTCCCCATCTTGGTCCTTGCCACGACCGTTTTTGTGCCAAGAGCGCCACAAGCTGAGTGTTTTGCAGGGAGGCAAACATCCCAAGCGCAGCTAGCTGTTCAACAAGCCATCCCAGTTCCTCTGGGCCAATGATTTGTTGCAACAAATCAATGGCCGCTTCCACTCGGGCCGATGCCTCTCGGAAAACACCTTTCCAAAGGTCTATGCTTACTGTGTTCACTTCACATTTGGCTTCTGCTGCGAATAGCTCTGCTTGGTGAGGCGTCAGCCCATCCACTGTCTTCAACAGTCCTTGGCAGAAATCCTCCAAATCCAAAGTTGATGGAGTCGATAGGATTGATGAATATCCATCTGACCTTTCAAGACTATGGCATTCAGCCAGCAATGCTTCAACAGAAATTCCAGAGGCAGCCAGCCACAAAGTTGCTGCAGTTGAATCCGCCCCGGCGTTCCGCTGAACTTTTTGGGCTTGTGCAGCTCGCAGGTTTCTTCTTGGGGCGTTGTCGGAATTCTGGCAATTGTGGGCCATGACAGCATTGGTAGCTGTGGTCGTTGTGGTCTCCTCGCTTTGGTTCCCCTTCGGGTGCTCAGGTTGGACATTGGACCCCTTAGGTGGTGCTCCTTGCACAGCTTCCACATCAATCTTGCCGGTCGACATTTCCAAAGGTGCAGGCAAAGAAGCCAACCTCGCATCACAAACTCCGCAATGTTCAAACGTTAGCACCAAAAAAAAACAAGGAAAATACAAATGAAATCTGTCTCAGAACCTTCGCACAGGCTAGCGTTCCTTTGGGCACAAAGCACTCCAAAATTACTGTATACAGCACCCCAAATGATGGCCGCTGAACCACAAAATCCGCACACAAACAGCTCCAATGAGACAACCGTTCCAACGCAAACCTTGTCAACTAAAACCGATCGGGTGTCTGGCTCGGTGGCTCCAAAGTCCCAGGTCCCGCGTAGAGGGCAAGCTTCAGAAGGCCAATGACATCACCAGAACTCAATGATGACACCTCCAAGTCAGAGCTCAGCAAGAGGTAACTGAATGGATTTTCAATCCTTGGCTTCCAGAAAGCCCAGCCCTGACCTGAGCCTGAGCATCTGACGTCACAACATATTTCCAGCACAGAAAAGGAACGACATACAGTGACTTAGACTACCAAGGGGAAAGTCGTTGCATCTTTTGAGGCCAAGGAACAATGTAGCAGGCAATTTGACTGCTGAAAGGCCTAGAAGCCTCGAGTTTTGCCACAGGTGAAAGTGCAACGACTTCAGAGTCGGCTCACCTCCTGCGGTCAGACAATGTGTGAGCACCTATCCAAACTCATCATTTTGCCGATATGGAGCTACTCGCTCCTCCACTATGATCCAATACCTATGAATTTCAATGCAAAATCCCGTGCCTCCCTCCATAGCCATCGGCACCTAGTCTGAACCCTGGTTGAAATATTGCTAGAAAACCTTCCAGACAAATTTCTCACACTATATGGACCCCCTCATATACTCAGTTTTGCGGTATGGACATTCGCAGTCCAAAACGCAGAGCCAAGAGTTTTTGTAATTATTATGTTATATCATAATATCTAATATTTATATAATATATAATGTGTGTGTAATTAATTCCAATTAATTAATTATATATATAATATGCTTTGCCGCTCCTGCTCCCTCTGGCCAAATTGGCATGCTGGAGGTTCGAACCGAACCCAGAAGGGCACAAGCTTCATGATCGACATGATCTTCATCATGAAGTTCTTGAAGTTCTTGAAGCACTGCAGTGACCGACACCTCTTCCTTGGCTCCTAATCGATATGTGATGGTGATGCGTGGCATGCCCCCTTCCTCCTTCCGGAGCGCGGATGTTCTCAGCCGCATGCCACACAAATGGACCTGCAAATGCAGTCCCTGCACTGACTGAAGAGCCTCATCCAGAAAGTGACGGACCCCACATTGACCACAAAAGCGGCAAGTGGCCTCCAGATCGCCTCAGCCACGCATGTCACAACACTCGCATTGCGAAGCTGAGAAGCTGTTGCAGTAAATCAAATGCAAAAAATCAATGCTGAATGCAAAATACTGCAAATATGATCAAATATGTTGGTTCTCTCCCGAGTACATCGAATACCATAATACCATCTACTATCCATCTACGGTATAGAATGGTATAGATCAGTCCCATCAGGTGCAATCTGATTCCAGCTGCTTCCATGTCACTGCCACAGTTTTTGCAGCGCTCCATTGGAAGTCCCGGAGCTGGTCGAGATTCTTCCAGCTTCGCCTTCAACTCATGCGCTTCGAAGGATGACAAAGCATCCTGTAACGCACTGGATACGCATTGGGTTGGGCGGATGGTGGAAGGATCTGCGTCATGTGTGTTTGCAATTGTTTGCATGTGCGTGTGCATACAAGCCTGCCGGCCTGTTACAGTAGATTACAGTAGTATGGAGGTGGGCTCACATGTACACAACAATCTGTTTGTATGGTCTAGAGTCTAGTCACTAGTCATCTTGCACGTCATATCATGTCATGTACCCACATGAGGGAATTTCACATATTCATATGATCTATATGATGAACATTGATGAACGGTCTCATCTGTTCATGCCAACAGCTTCAGCCATGTCGTGACCACCAAACCATCCAAAGCCAACGAGGGAAGCCTTGAGTTGAAAAGCACGGGCAGTATGTTTTCCACAATTTTTCAAGCCTCGATGATTGTTTTGTTCAAGACATGTTCCAGGCATTTGCCCACGTTTTACGTAAGAAACCACGCCTGCTTGGATCTCAGCTCTGCATGCTCGCTCCATTCAGTGTGAAGGATTAGGCGGAGCTGCCCTATCACCATGCGATCGGAATGACTTCGCACCACCGGGAAGTAGCCATCCAACTGAAGCTTGTAATCTGAATCTGGCCCACGAAGGAACGGCAGCACGTTTATTTCGCACAAGCCCATTGGTTTATTTGTCTGGCCAGCATGGTAAATATGAACGCGCAAGAATTGCATATCCTGTATGTACGCCATGAAACGTTTGGGTGAGGAACGAATTGGAAACTCCACGTTCCCACCTAGGCTCACCTCACCTCGCCCAGGACATGGTGGGTGCTTCACCTCGAGCAGCACATCCACCGTGTCTTGGCCCCACCACTCCAAGGCGCCCTGCGCCGGTTGAGCTGCTCCAACTGCATCGGTGAAGTCCAAGAGCTCTGCGTGGAGCCAGCCCTGGATGTTACCAGGGACATGCGGAGGCAAACTCGTCCCCACAGCACGCATCAGGTCTGAGATCGTGAGCTAACAGCCAGCTTTTGTTCGTTGTGTCTGCTAGTCTCGGGTCTAAGCCTCTGCTGACAAAGAGGGTCAAACGGGTCAAGACATCGGAGGTGGAATTTGAGTCTTTACGACAGATCTGGACATGTGTTTTTGAGAAGAGCGATGTAGAAATCATATGAAATTATTGGGCACTTGCTCAACACGGCTTGAAGTCTTGAACCAGCTGCCGACACACATGCAGATGATTTCAACCTTCTCATGCAAAGCTGATGGGGTGTAGGCATGTGTTGAATTTCTCCCTGAAATTTCAGATGACATTCTCCCTTAACGTTCAGACATTCGTCATTCGTCTGTGTTGAATGCACTTGCGAGCAGCAAGCAGTCCAGATCTGCAAGAGAACTTGCCTCAGGGTGGAGCTGCTTGGCTGCAAACTTGGCAAGAGCGGCAACCCATCAACACATATCAGACATATCAACAAACCACTCAAGCAATAAATGGGAAAGATCACGCGCTCTCGAGCTGCGATATGCTGAGATGCTCCTCAACAGGTAGGTCTTCCTGCGATCGAGGTGATCCAGGAGCTTCTGCCAACACTTGCAGCACGGTCTCTCGCACCTGAGCCGAGTTGTCTGCATCTCAGACCCATGGCCAGCCACACACGAAGAAAAAGCTGAAAAGCCTCAGGGTTGAACAGACTTAGTGAACGCTGCTCTTTTTATATTTCATTTCTGAACCCAGCCCCGCTGCCAGCTACCAGGAACCCGCACTACAGGAAGAAGCACTTGGGGGCGCTTGATGGAAATTACCACATGCGCGGCCGATTTTTTCCCCTCAGACCCCCTTAGTATGGATGTGAACGACTTGCAAGATGTGTGGCCCAAGGACAGGACAAATGCCGCGTTCACATTGGGTTTGCGAGCCTGATAGATCCAAGCATCCTTGGCTGTGATCTGGCACATTTTGGCACGGCAAGGAGCCACATCATACCCATTAAATAAATTGCTGAGATTTGTTGATGTTCCAAAAGAAATCCCATCTGACAGGACTCTCTTTCCGCATTCCCCACTGTGGTCCAAGTAGAAACAGTGCTTCACTCAGGCTGCAGCAGCTGCATCACCCCAAAGAGCCAGGAGTCCTTGACACGGCAATGACTCAGTGATGTTCACGAAAGGTCAGCACGGTTCAATCACTCGTGAAGTATACTATATGCAGTGACAATATGTGACAATACAAGGAACAAATGGCATTAGTTTTGGGCCCTTACGGCAAGTGAAGCAAAGCTTGAGGTATGTCATGTTTGTCATTATCACATATTATCAATATATTATCACTGTCTCCCACTTCACGCAATGACGCGCAAACGGTTTTCTAACAGCCCATCGCAGAGGCGTAGACCGAACTTGTTTGCCAACTTTTGGCAAATTCTACATCCGCACCCTTGGTGAATGCCAAGTACATCAACCGAGGAATTCGGACGCAAAGTGCTTGCTCTGCTGCTAGGATTCGAAGGAACCCTGAACTCTGGAACTGGATTTTTGCACTGTTCCAGAAGCTGAGCCAAATTCCCCAAACTCATGCATTGCGCCATGTCGCCTCCTGTCGCCTCCCATTTCTCATCTGCTCTTTGATTGCCATATCATCCAGCCTTCACAACCGACCTCCAGGTGACAGGATTCTTTCACCAGGCTGGGTGGAGGGGTCTCGAAGTAGGCAAGCATTTAAGCATGGCAAGAGATGAGAAGAGATGAAAAGAGATGATAAGAGATCGCTAGAAACAGGAGATGACGGAGATGATAAGAAATTGATAGAAACTCTGTGTGTGTCTCAAAAGCAGTACATTGAGTCATGAAGCAATCACGACAGTCGCGGGCCTGGAACCTTGGTCGCAGCTCCTCGAACACCAAAAAGCCGACCGCTTTCATTGCGCAAGCGATGACGCAAATGCAGCCAACAACGAAGACCTGACCAAGTTGTACCGTGACTATCCGTGAGTCATCGCGTCAATGCCAAGATGACTGGCATATCTGGATATATCTGGATGTATCTGGCATATCGACAGGTCACTAGAGCTGCGTTTGTAGTATGTTGCTGAAGTTGCGGCCAAAGGGGCGAAAGCTATCATCCACTTCTCTGATTTCTTCAAGGCCGCTGGAGGCACGTTACCTGCTCCCCTCTTCTTCAAGGTCCAGTACACCACTGACGGGTAGACATGACTCACCCAGGGCGTCGTCAGAGCGGTTGTGAAGTCCAAGAGGGTGTTGATGCTTGGTGTGAAAACGCTTAGGGACAACGCAAACAGGAAAACCTTGGCTGAAAATTTGGAGCGACCGGAAGCTGTGGCGAAGCAAATCTAAACAAGCTACTGAATCAAGTCATTCAATTCCATTCAGCTCCTTGCTGTGAAAAGCGAAAGCGATTTCCTTTGCTTGCATGCTTTATCTACAACAAGAAAGACCTGGAAATTGGGCCTTATCCACTTGATGCCTGCACCTACTTGCGTGACGAAAAAGGACTTCATGCCTACCACATCCTACCACGCACATCCCACCACGTCCTGTCCCAAAGTCTAAGAGTGAAATACGAACGCAAATCGCATGCAATCAGAATCAATCAGAAAAATCAAATAAATTCCAATCAAGTTCAAACAAAGGTGCAGGCAAAGTGTAGGTGAAGTATCTGCCAACATCTCCTGCAGACCAGGTGTCCTTGAAATTTGGAGCCCAAGCTCTCTGACAAAAACGGCCCAGAGGAACAGAGTCCAACATGTACGAGACAAAGTTCCCGCCAAGCTGGAAGATATTGAAGACCTGAGAAGAAAATGAAGCATAGTGTGAACATGTGTAAACACTGAACATTACTTGAAAAGGCTCAGCCAAAAGACTTGCTGAGTTTGTCAATACTGATGGGATGCCTTTGCAATGCAACATCCAAAGTCTTTACATATCCTAAGTCCTAAGCTGTATTGACAAGCGCTTCTCTTTCAGTTGTGATCTCGCATTCCCCCTTGCTCTTCCAAACCAGAACCTTTATCAATCTTTCGGGATGAGTTTGAATACCGATAATTCTTCCAGAAAAATATTATCCTTATAAAGCATTATAAAGCTATTGTATTCAATTTAAGAACTTTAATAGTACGTCAGTACGTATTAATGGTGTATAATTCACCGTAAAATTCCATCATTGAAAGTCCAGCCCCCACATCCAAGGCACGGTGTTGATGGCAACGCCTTGGGCCCATGCTTCGACTGCGGGCGTGGCTGCAATGACTTCACCCACCTTGTAACCCCACCGGGCCACGACGAGGCATCCAGCACAAAACCTCACCGATCTCATGGGCATTCCATAAGTTTAATGGATGAACACGAAATATCACATGTTTAAAGTTTAAATAGATGGGAAATTGATGATGAATTAAAAACATATATATGATATAACTTCTTACATGTGGGTTTGTAATGGTTTGATACGGTTTATAATATAAATATATATATATATACAGTATACAGTATCTGTGTGTGTAATATGCATGTGCATGCGTGAATAAGAAATGATGATCCTGATGAGTTTATGATGATAACATTTGGTTTTCACCCGGCTAGACTCTAGACTAAGTCACCACTTCTCAAGGATGAATAACAAATGATAACAAGGTGAGGCCACCATGAACCGCAATAAACCATTTAATTAAAAGAAAAAAGAAAAAGAAAAAGGGATCGCATCTGCAAAAGCTGCAATGCATTGCCAAGAGAAGAAACGTCAAAACATTCAGAGTGCCCGCCAACACCAGCGACTTGTTGAAATCCGCAGGGTCTCCCATACAAGTGCTGAGCTCCACTGTCAAGAATGCCGGGATGAATGCCCAGGCACCGATGGTGCAACCACCTGCGAATCTGATGAGTCTCAATCCTGCTTCTGGCTCAGGATTTCCGAACCAGCTTGCTGGGATCTTGTGCTCGTTGTCGTACTTAAACGAAGCGTATAACATGGAGACAATCATGCCAATGACACAACAAAATGATAATACCGTGAAGATCTGCGCATTCCTGAAATCTCGAACTTGGGTGGTCACCAAGCACACAAATGCCACCACGAAAACGTAGTAGTCAACACATTCATCAAATCCAGGAATTCCATTGCCAACTCCCTTAAGAGCTAGCCCGCAAAAGCGAAGAGCACAAGGCATGAAGAGGCAAAAGTTTCCAAGTTGGATAATGTTGCCCCAAATCTGCCCAGGCTTTCCAAGCACTTGTAGGCCGAGATCTCCAAGGGTTTGGCACTGGGGAAAAAGCAATTTGAGGTGCAGCAGCATTTTTGCACCGGTGATAGAGGCACCTGTCCGGGTGACAACAGAAACAACAATGACAACAGTCGCAAACACCATGGTTGCTGGCCTTTTAGCGGTGCAGTTATACCGTGTTTAACGTGTTGAAAGGGTGTACGATCATTGGGGTTGCAGTGGGTTCGCCATGCAATTCAACCAGCTTGGAAACGAGTCTACTGTAGGGGGAACAAAGCAAGCACTCCACAAGCTTCAGCAAAATCTCTGTATGATCTGTATGGCACTCATTGACCATCATTGGCCTGTGATGATCAAGCACAGTAGCATCCCTCCGACAAAGCCAGCATTGCCAATGGCAAACGGTACGGCCATCACAGCCGAAGGTGCTGCAAAGGTGAAGACAGTAATTCCTGCCTGCATCCACCCCATGCGGACATCCTGCGTGGCAGGAGTCAACAACCAAAGCAGTGTGAGATACTAGTATATCAAACAGATATACACATCTGATACAGGATATATATATATATACGTATGTATGTATGTATGTATATGTGTATGTATGTATGTATGTATGTATGTATGTATGTATGTATGTATGTATGTATGTATGTATGTATGTATGTATGTATGTATGTATGTATGTATGTATGTATGTATGTATGTATGTATGTATGTATGTATGTATGTATGTATGTATGTATGTATGTATGTATGTATGTATGTATGTATGTATGTATGTGTGTATGTGTGTGTGTGTTTGATCATGTTTGATATAATTCAAAATGATTCAAAATGATTCAAAATGATTCAAAATGATTCAAAATGATTCAAACAAATCAATCTCTTTGGGAAATTAGACCCATGATGATGGCGGGCCATTGTTCCCTTGCCGGGTCCTGCCGCTGCAGCAACGTCTCCTGGCCATCCTCTTCCATCTCAAAGCCGGGAGGGAAAGCTGCCGAAATGATGGCACGCTTTGGCCACTCTTTGGCCTTGACCCTCTAGTAAAAAGCAAAGATGGCTATGCTGAAGCCAGAAATAGATAGAGGCGTCAAGTGCATCAAACCACTGTACCCCCACCGTGCCCACCTGCTGTGTTTGACAAAAGATCAAAAGATCTTCGGAATGACATGCCTTGTGACTCATTGTAGACTAGATCGCGCTAAGACAAGACAAGACTGACACTTCTAGACACCTGGAACCTTCAAGACGGCCTTTTCTTAAGAGACAAAGAGACAGGCATGGTGTTTCTTGTCCCATGTTGTCCTTGTTGTCCCACATAGGGATGCTGCCATCGAAGGTCGAAAGACCACATCTTACATAAAACAAGTGGGATGCAGAAAGGGCACCAGTCCTGCACTCTTCCAGTCCTGCTAACACATGGAGACGGCGAGAAGAAAGCGGCACCTCAAAACGCATTCACGTGTCGCAGGGCTGAGCTTCTATGCCGGCACATACAATCAACATCAATCAACAACAAAGCTCATCAGTTGAGTGGTTTCAATCCAAAATGCATGAAGCATGATGTCAATGAACACGGCTTCGTATCACTAGTCCACAACGAATGTTTCAGCATTCACATCGTGTTGGCCATGAGGTCAAGCTTCCGAAAGCATCGAATGCACAAAAATGTTCTTGCGATCCAAAACATTTGCTTGCCCTGTAGCAAACCTATCCTGATTTCTTAGCAGTGCTTGATCACACAATAACTTCCTTCATGCCATCTGCTGCCTCCAGCCAGACTTTGGACAAAGGCAAGCAGCTCCAGAAGAACGCAATGCTGGCAATGCTGATCAAGTAATAACGCACCTGTTTGGAAGTTTGGACAAGGTAACAAGTGCAAGATTCAGCTGAAGAAAGTGAGAGACCACGTCAAAGAAACGAAAGTGAAGCCAAATGGAATGGCAGCTTATAGATCTCTCAAAGCAATTTTCCACACCCCCACCCATTCAGAATATGGGTGCGCGCAAATGTGTATATACTTTAAGCTCTTGCAGCATGCCAGATTCACAGTCTGCAACTTTGAACTTTACTCGCTGAGGCACGTGTAGCGACTTCCTCTGCAATTTCATGTGCGCTCAGGGCGGCAACGTGAACATCCCTGGTGAATCCTATTCTTGCAGTCTTTCAAAATCTGGTCGCACCGTTCAAATCATGGAGGAAAACCGTTTCTACATGTTATCATCACGTTATCTGTTGGAGTGTCTTGGGCCAAAAGTGGTTTTGAAATGTTTTGAATGCTCTCTCTATGATGAATTTGCTGGAAGGCCAGTGCGTAACAATAGCAACTGCGGCAACAGGACATCACATCAGAACTTCCGGTTCCCAGCGGCTTGAGCTTAATCAGCAGGATGCGTCATGGAGGTCTCATTATCATAAGGGTTCGATACTTGGGCTCGCATCTTGAAGCTATTAATGATCACAAAGGTACTTGCATCAATACTTAATTTCTAAATACTGTGTTTTTTTTGTTTGTGTGTGTGTTGGAAGTCAAGAGAGGAAACACAGGAAAAGAAAGAATACGTCGCAATGCACCATGGACCATAATCATCAAAGCATATCAGTGCTGCGCGTTCATTTTCGCTACTGCGCACCGGGATCTTCAATCTTTCTGAGCAGCCGCAACTGATGTGGCTACCCATCATCCAATGCAGCCCGAAATCAATTGTGAATTGCTCTGCCCAAACTAAACCGCTAAGAAAAGAAGACGTGGACATGGTCTGGGCAGGAATGATCTCAACAAACACACACACACATACACATGTGTATGTGTGTATATACATAATATGTAGATGTGTGTGTGTATGTATAATATAGTATTATTGATGGTGATGATGACGATGATGATGATGATGACGACGGTGTAATGCGGACGTGATTGCTCTATGACGTGTCTGAATGCTGTCCGGGAACAGCCATTAGATAATGTTGCTTTGTCGATCAGACTGCGCCGAAAACTGTCGTGCCAACACACATGAGGCGCATAAAATCACAAAGAGAATCCAGCGCCAATAGGATTTAGTAGGCACTGGGCTGGGAAGTGCAGGGTGAATTCAAGTGAGCAAAACAAGCAAAAAAACTCGACACGCCACACACACGGTGTGGAGGCGTCACTTCCAGAATAGACCCAGCTGGTGCACTTTGTCTGTCAGAACCTAAGTGGGCTCCAAAATGCTCCAACAAACTCTTGACTAAACGTTTCGATCAATTTGTAGTGCCAGAGAGGTCTTCCACTTTTAATGCCAAGGATTTGCATGGTGCAATCAGCTTCTTGTCATTTGATCGTTGTAGTGCACAGGAGTCAGGCGGACAAAAGGCGCAACGTTAATTATATATTTATATTTTTTGATATATTTTGCGGAGAAGTCCCCTTCATGGTCCAACCCGGCCACGTGGTGTTGAGAAACCCCAAGTGCAGAGACGTTTTGGCAAGAGGAACTGATGTGCAGTTCCAACGTGGTTACATGCACGAGCCAAAATTCAGTAATTACCATCAACTCACACTTACAGTATCACTGGATAACAGGAAGTAGCAACCTTACCCCGTTACGTGCGGTGAGAATGTCCAAAGTCAGCCCAAGGTGCAGGATACAATGCTTCTGTACTTTCGGTAAGTACCTTTCGCTGCACCGGTCACAAAGGGTTCAAAGTTGCAATGCTGAATTAACATGAATTAACTATAATATAACTAAAGGCCGAAATACGGCATCCACCAGCTGCAGAACTTGCAGAACAAATGCGTCCAGGGCACCAACAGGAATTCAGTTGCTGCCTTCTCCTCCTGGCCATGAACGCTTGAAAAGCGGCTTGAAACCAAGGATGACCCCACAAAATGGCAAAGTGGCAGAGCAGCAGAAGACAGCTCTTCACGAATCCATACAGCACATACAGTAGCCGTGCAAGCAGCAAGAAGGGATACAATTTGCAAATCTCATGTCTTTGTCACGCTTTCGCGTTACGACAAAAAAGCGATCCTCGTAGCTGTCAAGATCGCTTCGAAGACGATCCTGGGCATGACAGGATTTAGATTTCTCGTCTGACGGCTGGTGTGATTACAGACTCAAAAACGCTCAATAGCTCAACAAAACTTCAGAGAGAAAATCCCAAAGTGGAAGTCCTCACTCAAAAAATCTCCCTGGGGCCCTTGCAGTCACCACCACCACGGCTGCGTTCGCATCTTGCCGCAGGCATGAGCAGCCAGCCCCGCCCGCGTGGCCAGTCACCCTCAAAAGGGAGACCCACCTGCCAAGTTCTGCAGGAGTTTGGAGCAAGGCGGTTTCGATGTATGGCTCACATGTAAAAAGGACTAATCAGATACTGTTGCCATCGATGATAATATAATATATATATGATAATCACTGCACGTGAATTGTCGTGAATACCTGAGGCATCCCTGTACATCCCTGTACTCCGCAACTCTGCGATTGGGCCATTGGGTATGCTATGGCTATGGCATCAATTTGTCCCCTGCCAGGCCACAAGGGCATAGACCGGCGCAGAGCTATGTAGGCGCGCCCAGCGAGCAGGAAACATCTGTCTAGCAGTGTGCCTGGTGAATCGCCAAAACAGCCAAAACAGCCACAATTTTCTCCCATGGAAGCTACATGAAGCCAGATGCTTTCTTCTTGTGACTGCGTTGGGGTGGCTACCTGGCTTCCTTGAAATAGATGGCATGCATGATACGATTACTGAAACGGCAAACCAAGACACCACCAGATTGAGAGTCAATTTCTTTCATAAGCACCTGCGGCTCTCAAGTCTCTCAGCTGCTCAATTCTCGCAGGCAATCTTACCTACTAGTTACTAGTATCAATCCATATGGCTCAACCCACGCTGGGCATTACGGATAGTCAGACCCAATATGATTCAATTTCATTAATTAATTATATACATCAACATGTAGGGTCGATGTCGAAAGTCTCATGGCTTGAAGATAGTCTGAGGAATGCTGAGGACCCTGCACTGGCAACCTGTTGTGGCAACCTCAAACGCGGAGCAAAAGGCTTCGGGTCCTCAGCACGCTCAACACTGACAAAGTATACAAAGTTGCTTGAAAATCTTGGCAGATTAAAACGACTTTGCTGCTCTCATGAATGCTGCCCACTCTTACAGTATACACTTCTGGCATGTGTTTACGCGACCCTCGTGTTGGCAATCGCTTTCACCGCCAAAATAGGACAAGAAACTTCTCCAAATATAAATCCAAAGTCAATGTGGAAGAAGTGGCCCTCTGGAGTGATCTGCAGGTTGTCAAGGTGACGATCTCCAATTCCAAGAACCTGAGCAAGTTTGGCAGTCGAGCGTAAACTCTTGCAGCAAACGAATGCAGCAGTTTTTGTTCAGAGCGCTGGCAAATACTGGCACCGGCTTGCTGACGGCTTACATGAAACTGTTCCGCCTTTTTCCCTGCCCCCTTCCAAGTATTGACTTTCTTTTTCTGCCAATGCTCCTCTACAAGGCCTTGAATCCCAAGCAGCTGAGGTCGGCTACGGTCAGGTTACAGCTTTCAGACTGTACGCAAGGTCGACCAATAGAGCGGCCCCCAGTTACCAGGACGGTCCGGCAAAACCCTCCAGCCATGCGCCGTGGGCTCTATTTCCAGCCCGGAGATGTTGCCAATCCTATCTGTGGCAATCCTCGACACTCTCCGCTGACCCAAGTCTAAAACCTCCTGGGCTTGTGCTTGGGGGTAAACATCGACGTGCATTTTGATTTAAATGTGTTTTTTCTGTTAGATTAGATGGTTTGAGATAGCTTACAAGCTCTGAATTACGATGCGAGATCTTTGGAATTCTTTGAGGTGATTTCTTTCGCGGCTACTTGTTACATAGTCTTCATCCTACAGGAGTATATTGATACACGGAGTGGTTCAAACTGACATTGGGTGAAAAAAAAAATGCAGGAGACATCTTTTTGGCAAGCTAGTCTCCTGCACCACCGCATCGTTCTCGATATGGGAGAGGGCACAAGTGGCATACACCACGGTGCCAATTGCATTTTCCAAGGCAGATCGCAGAAGAGACACCTGACGTCGAGAATTCGCTTTGGCTTTCTCTTCTCGCCATGGTTCATCCTTTTGTCGTCCAAGGCCCCGCAACAATCGCTCCCTCTCCGAGCTGCAAGGAGCATCTACCAGAATGGCATCAAATGGGTCAGGTGCCCGCCCAAGAATTCTTGAAGCATCGCCCCGAAGCACTACGACCCGCTTAGAAAGAAACTTTGGCAGGTACAGTCGCAAGTTCTGCTTCAAGCGACTCAAGCGAAAGGCGTCGTTTTCAATAGCAACCAGCTTTGTAGCAGGCAGAGAATCCGACAAAAAGACCCCTGCCATGACGAGAAATTTGCCACCAGGTGCTGCACAAGCATCTAGGACAGCTCGGGGATGTGAGGTGGACCCCACCAAGGCCAAAACGGGCATGGCTGAGGCCAAATCCAAAGGATAATACATCTTCAATCCTGTCTCTGAACAGGTCGGAGGCTTGGGAAGCCACTGATCTTCACTGGAGACCCAAAGATGTGCGGCTCCAGCTGTTCCAGGAAGCTTTTGGAAACCGTAAGTTGCCAAAATGACATCCTGGTGGACAAACATCTGTAAAATCCAAGAAAGACAGCTACCCCAGTTTGCAAGCTGCTTGCATTTACTTGCTGCTTTTCCCCCTGCAAGCATCTCTTTCTTTTCGATAAAATATAACCTTCCTCGGAACAGCTGTAAAAAGCAGGAAAAAAGTGTTTCAAATTGATAAACGGAGTTTCTGCACCCGAGGCAAAGGGATTGGCCCAAGCTGCATAGCGCTTTGGCTTGGCCAAAGCAGCAGATAGCTGCGACCAGCGGCTCCCAAACTCCCCCTCGAGCGTAAAGAGGCTACGGCTGCGACCGCCAATGGCAAGGCCAACCAAAACAGCTGTCCATCGTCGCTTGACACATCCAGTCATACACTTTGAAGAGGATGTCTTCTGAGACTTGCATCGTATTGTGATAATGTTGGAAAATGTTGTAAAATGTTGTAAACTTGCTTCGATCGTAAGGGGAGCTTATGCTGAAAGCGGATATGCTGTCATATGGGAAACCGAATTTGCTGTCGGACGTGTTCCTGGAAATGATCTGGCAAAGAATGACTATAATGAGGCTTGCTGTCTGATCTAATCCCAGTATGCTTCAACCGTTTGAAATTTGAAACGCGTCTTGCAGCTTGGCTGATAAGGAGACTGCTGGGCATGAAATTTATGGAGAGTCAGTCACGTTTGAGGCTATACAACTTCCATAACTTCCCTTCTGCATCCAAGGATGCGGGGCGCCAATCTTACAGGAAATTCCACGACTTGACTTCAAGAAAACCCGAGGAAACGATGAGAACCTCAGGCTCAGACATATGTTGCAACACAATAAGCTGCAGCGCTCCCACAGAGGTTATTCAAGACCTAGACGCAGTTGGCAGCAATCTAGGAGGTTACAATCCGAGTCGACGCTTTGTTATTGGACATTTGACTACTATCCATTCTTGCAAACCACAAAATCAGAAAATGTCATGAAGAAATCGCCCAATGCCTCCCGGCGCTATGCCAAGTCAGGTAATGTCAGCAATCCCGAGAGGGACCCTTCGAATAAAGGATGATTCTTTGCATGCCTGGTCTTTGGTCATGTCCTCTGGAAGGTTCGAGGCAAACCAGGTCAACAAATCCTCAGATGCACTGTTCACAAACCTTGACAAAGTCCAACCATCTTGCACTCGTGCGGCTGCTTGACCTATTGGACATTGCACTGCTTGGATCTGCTTAAAGCATCTGGCTCACACTTTCGCTGCGCCAAGGATCGCCATTGCTTTGCGCTAAAGCTCTTGACAAAGACATGGCACCAGGTACAAACTTGATGTATCCTGCATCTGGTGTCATGGCAAGCACTCCTTGGTGGCAAGCAGGCTAACAAAGGTAGCCTGGAATAGTATGAATAGTGAATAGTGTTGGAAAAACACATGCGCCATGTCAAGAGTTTTGAACACGATGAACCTATTCCGGAGTATTTCATGAATGAGGAGAATATCCGGGGCAGTTGAATTGCCAGGCATCTGTATGGAACGAAGCGCAGCATTTCATTCTCTTCTTTTGGCAGCCGCTCCTGTCGTGGCTGAATCAAGCTGGACATCATGGAACCTGAATCCGATTGAATCCGTTCCGGGGCCAGCTCCGGGTTTTCTGAGAGTTCTGTGTGATCTGGGTCCCATCACTGTCAGCTGACCTCCTAGCCCCAAGTCCTGCCAAACCAGCTCCATCAAATGGAGCATTTGTAGAACGAGCTGATCCTGCAAAGAATCGGCTGTCAATTGCTCTGCGCCACTTCATCAGTAGGGTTGGGGGTACGGAACCCACTTGCTTTGCTTCAGTCAGCGGACGTCGAACGTCGGCTGTTTGTTTTCCTTGTTGGCATCTGGCGTGCCCAGCATCATGCGACATGACATGACATGACCCTTTTTCAGTCTTGGGCCAAGGGCATTAAATCAATGTGTTTCACGTGTCGCCTGCCGAAGGTCGTCTCCCACTTTCACCATGTACCGGTCGACCTGCAACAATTGCGACACAAAGTCCTGTGAGGAAGAAAACACAATCAAATCATGCGTCATCTTGACAATGTTGGCATGTCAAGTCGAACTCATTGCCATTCTCGGGCAATTCTGCCTGGCTCTCGCTGACCATTCGGTGCAATGATAAGCCTCCATGGTTGGCTTCTAGGTCAAGGCCGCATCCAGTATCTGGCACCTAGAGAAGCCACGTGTCCCGGATGTCCTAACATCCCACCGGTAGGAAATGATTGAAACAATTTGAAACAATCTGTTTGCTTCAAGCTTGACATCCCGCAGGCCTTCAAGGATCCCAACACAAGCGGTGCTGCATTGGACTTCAGAATCTCGCCTCAATGAAGGTCATGCTACGTGGTCACAAAAGTGCCATGTACGTGCGTGGAGCGAGGGCCTGAGAATCTCAGTAAAAATAGCAATACAATGTAATTAACACATCTTATATATATAATATATATATATATTATTAATATATGCATATATATATGTGATATGTGTGTGTGTCAGTACAATATACAATATACAATATACAGTAATCACTTTTCTGCCAGGCTGCAATGAGCTACGTCGACGCCAAGAAATGGAACGCTGGGATCCACCGGGGTCGATAGAAAGTGCCGAGAGCTTCTCACTAAACCTCGGTTGGATGTGCCAACAAGACCTCGTCGCAAAGTTTAAACCAGAAAAGAAATCGCTCGCGCATGCTAATTATATATATATATACACATACGGATACGCATATAATTGCACATATAATATGATTTATTGTCTATATATATATATATTGATATTTATTGTATAACTATATATAATTGTATAACTATATATATATAATTATATTATATAATGAAAGGTGTTCGATTTTTCGGCATCATTATGAGAAGTCCCTCACTCTATCTCAGCCTGCGGCACTTGTCATCTGGCATTTGATTTCTCACATCGCTCTACGCTGACCGAACGCTAGATGCATCTGGGCGGCTTGCTGTTTGGGTGGCTTTCATCAGTGAAGGATCTGCCTGGTTTTCAGAAAAAAATATCACGAGCTGTGTGTGATGTGAAAGGCCTCATGCCAAGCTCATGTGTTTGAAATTGGTCAAACTGTTGCCATTCCTTTCTTTTAGCCTGCCATGTGCATCCATGTGCAATCAGCAAATCTGTCGAGCCTCTGTACCTTATGCACTTTCCATAAGGTCAAACGACAGCACAACATGACATTTCACCATCAAGGCCCGTTCTAGCTGGATAAACCATTCTTGGTGGATAGGACAAATCACACCAAGTTTGCCAGTTTGGCTCGCAATGGCCTCCAATCTCTCAGAGAGGTAGCTGTCCTCTAGCACCATCGGCTCCCTGTCCTCCGCCTACCGAGATTTTGGCGTCATCTTGCATCCCCAAGTTCCCCCTTCCAAACGCACGGCCTAACTAGTATAACCATGTATAACCATGCACCAGCATAATCATACTCTGGTCTTCCCTTCATATCCTTCATCCAACAGCTTTACGAATTCTTTGACCACTGTGGCAGTGGCATTGCGTCCAGCCAGGCATTGACACCTTGACAGTGCCATGACAGTGCCATGACAGTGCCATGACAGTGCCTCGCCTCATCAACAGCTCGAGACTTCATCATCTCATGCAGGCGATGACGGATGGCTCTGGTTTTCTCCGCGGAGTCACCAGCCTTAGGCTTCGGACTTCGGTCTTACTCTCAGTGTGCCATCAATTACTTCAGCATCTTCAGCATGTGCCAACCATGTCTTGTACCAACCATGTCTTACCATTCTTCGTCCCTTTGTCCCGCTTTGTACCCAAAATATCCTAAAATCAATGGGGAGAAAAAGCATGTTTGTGTTCCATGCTTCACTGCCCAAAACACACCTCGGGTAGTAAGAAGGCAGGAATCATTGATTGAAGATACGTGAATACTGACTCAAGTTGGAAAGACTGAATCTCGCGCAAGGTTCTGTTTCTCGGCCAAAAGCAGCCAATTGTAAGGTCTGTTGCCAAAGAGCAGCCTGCGTCTGAAGCAATGAAATCACGCATCGAAGAAATTCGAAGACTTTGCTTGTCCATTCAACCTGGACCACCTGGATTAACCTCTTGCAAACTTCATCTTTCTGGGCGTATAGTAGTGGAAAATGTCTGTGCTTTATCACAATGAGTAGCACAACCAGCGCCAACCAGTGTGTATAACACAACGCATCACAACACAGAAAGCATCAAAGATCATTACAATGCCACCAGGGAGGAAATCAAAGGATTTCATGGAAATCCTGATGATTTCTGGACAATTTCTGGATTGTTGGGATCTTACTGGGAGCCACCTGCTGGGTGATCAAGCGCAGCGCTTGGTCTCTGAAGTTTCTGTCTGCATTGGGAGTTGGCCCGGACCTCGCGTGTGCGCTGAAAGTGGTGGGCATCATGCGACTATGGCCCTTGGTCCTACTATGTCCTACTTATCTTTTTGGCATTGTCAGAATGTCTGCGCGTGCCCGAATCATCCTGAATCTGTGAAGCTTTGTCGCAACTATATGCAGCGTAGTTACAGTACCATGGTCAATTAGTCAAACATGTATAACATGTTCAGAGCAAGGAGCGAGCTGCTCGAGCTGCTTGACCTGGATGCCCAAGTGTCCAGCTGGATACCGCGAACGCTGTCCCAAAATTCGATATTTCCCTCCAACGCATTGACCATAACCCAGCGTGCTTTGTCATATGCAGCGCGGTTGGGGTCGAGGTAGTCTTGAGACAAACACCACAAAGACCAGTAGATCTCAGAGATAAAGGTGAGGTCACGGGTTCCAATGGCATATCGGAGAAGGAAGCTGAGCAAGGGTCGTCTGGCCGCATCAATCGCCACCAGATCTCCAGCTTTCACTTTTCCAATGCCCAAACCAAGGAAGGTTGGTTCCCATCGCAACGACAGCAAGACTTGTGTCAGGACCAGCCGCAGCACTTCGCGGGCAGCGCTTTCTCGGTCACCGCTACCTCCACTGCTACTACTCGAGCTGCTTGGGCTGAAACTTCCAGCTTTGCGAGTCCAAACAGTTCCATGGGAGTCCGCGAAACGGATCTCGTGCCCCATGTGTGAGCCAATCACACGGCCCTCCGAAGGATCCAAAACGACTTCGATGGCAGTCCCTTGGAAGATCACGCCAACGGATTCGGTCAGCTCTCGAGAACCATCTTCCGTAAGAACTTCTCGTTTGATCAAAACAGCTCCTCTCTCTGGATCCATCATCTCCAGAACAACACGCCCAGAAGCATCGCTGTATTCGCCACTCCAAGGCAAGACCAATGACCAAAGGACATCTGCTACTGTGCTGCGAGCAACTGCTGCACGGTTTCGGTCACTCTGTGCTTCGCAAGTAAGGTGCAAGCCTTCCAGCATGTCCTCACCGATTCAACCAGCACAAACAAACAAACAAATGTATACAAATGTAATGTAGTTGTTGCAAGCTGCAATTGACACCATTCGTCTCTTCCGTACTCTGCCACTACAGTATGTGTGCCCCTTACCTCATGATGCATTGAGTGATTTCTTTGTCGGTTTTGAACTGTCTAAGCATGTCCGAGAGACCCCCAGGAGCTCCAAGCGTGCGCTTTCCGCTCGACTCTCTCGAACAAGGAAAGCTCCATGCTGAGGGCTTCCAACTGTGCCCAGCTCCAAGGCGATGTTCTGGCGGATGAGGAAAATGTATGAAAATGTCAGTATCGTGCGTGTATCGCATGATATCGGATGATATAAAATGATATAACATGGATGTGCAAAGCTGCGCAAATTAGCTGAACCTGAAACATGACAAATATGGTTGGTGCAAAATGTGTTTCAACTCTGACGGGTGCAACCCTTACGGTTTTGACCACATGGCCTCAGCAATTGTCTGCATCCACCATATTTGTGAAGAAACAGAAAGCACCAGAAAACAAAATAGACAAAATGCACACAAAATTATATATATATGTATAAACAAAGAAAAACAGAGTCACCTGCGGCAGCCCAAACAGCTGACTCCGTGAGGTCGTGGGCCGCATTGCACTGGCTTCATCACGGGGCAGTAGATCTGAGAGACGTGGCATGTCCTACTGCACAATCCGGCACCGGCTGTGAGTGTTGTGGAGCTTGAGCAGTGAGAGCCTCGACTCGCCTCGACCTATAATTCCCTGAAGCCCATGCAATGCTCAGAGTGCATTGAAGCACAAGCAATGGCAAACAAATCATAACAAACCCGTGTCCTGTCGAGCGAGAGACATTGCAGCATCCTGCGAGTAAGTGGATGAAGTTGGCCCTCACTCTGTGGGAATGCTTTGTGGCCAATCTGCTCATCTCTCTGTGGAAAACCCCGTACTCCTAGCATTCCTAGCTTGCTATCAATGCGGTGCATGTGGTGTTGTCAGAGGTGTAGACTGAGTAGATGCTGACTTTGGACACTACCTTGATTTGTCCGCTACAACCAGAAGCACATTTCTGTGGTAATTCTGGGCAATTAAACAACTGAGACACATGGCAAACCCAGTCCTGCATACTTCGGAGCTTGGGCACGACCACCCACACCAGAAAGGCATTCAGAACCACAGAGGCGAGCTGCACCTCCTGGAAACACAGAAACGGTGAAAACACCCCAAAATTTGATCCGACACTCATATGGGCGACATGGATTAGTTTGATTCCTTGGTCACACATCTCGCTTGGGACTGTCATACTGCAAACAAACCGACGGAGGGTCTACTCTCTACACATTCAACAACATTCAACATCATTCAACATCATTCAATTAGCCAACTGGCCTGGAAGATGGTCTTCAACCTGTCAAATTCGTGATCCCATTGTAGGACTCTGCAAATGACAAAGGCCTCGACATACTTGACCTTAGGAAGCAATCAGATCTTGCATGTGTATGAGTTTGGCTCCTGTATGGAAATCAAGCTCACGATAGAATGGAGTCATGCAAGAGGCAAGTCAAGCTTTAAAAATCTTGAAACATCCTTTCACGTGCAAAGATATGCAAAGTCACAATGTAAAAGCCCATGTTGACCACTTGGAACGCTTCTCGCGGGTCAAACATGGTAATGTTCACGAAGAACAAAATCTGCGACATGATCACACCGCTGGCCACCTTCACGCATGACGCAGATGGCAAAACAAATGAATGGAGTGTCTAGAAACAAACACGGTGCAAACTGTCGTTCTTGTCACACAATGTCACACATGTCACCACATGTCATCCATATCTCCATCCGGACTTTAGACACAATTCAGGCTTACGTCAGTTATGCATGCCTATAGCGGACCATCCCCAGGACACTTAGCCACTATATGCCACTATCAGCTATTGTCACGAGCAGAGCATGTACGGAGATCTCTACCTTTGTCGATCTTTGTAATTTCTCACCTCCATATTAATATGAATATATATATATATAATTATATACTGTGTATATATATATATATATTAAAAAATAAAAATAAAAACATGCAGACATCTGTGTGTGTGTGTCTGTGTGTGTGTGTGTCTGTGTGTGTGTGTCTTTCACCAAATCGGTTGCAGTTTCATGGCAACAGCGAAGCTTTTGGCCCAATTTGCCATGGCGTCGCCTGGCTGGAAGCATGGCGGCATGACATGCGCCGGCGCCAGCTCAAAAGCGTTGGCATCAGCAACAGCAGCACACCTGGAGACTGGAAAAAGAAAGCAGTTGAAAATGAAATTTGCAAAAATAGTTCATGAATGCGGCACGGGAGCATACCGGAGGAACCACACCAAATAATGCTGTGAACTTAATATATTTATTTGTATAATATGGCATCTTGAAGTCTGAGCAAGATCATTGCAATCGAGATTTGGAGTATCATAGGCCCAGAGCCTGCTTTGGATGTAGATTTTCTTGCCGTGTAAAATCACATAAAATCCTTGTGCTTGTCTATGCTAGGGAACAGTACATCCGGTCTTCGATGAAACTATTCAAAGAAGCGCAGCTTATCACAGCCTGGTCAAGCATGGGACATCTCTCTGAAGTTTGGCCAAGGCACTCGCAGACATGTCACAGGCCCACAAGAAAATCATTGGGACATAACCTTTCTCAACGACGTGCAGGAGCAAACATAGAAGAGGAAGCCTGGCACCAATATCGACACAGCAGCCACATGTTTGTTGGATGTTTCTGCTCTGCCTTTCATGTATCTGGGACGAGTGCTGACTCAGTTGTACGCTTGCTTGGGTGTAAACAATATCCGGATCACGGTCCGGATCTTTTTTGTGCGCCGTTAGTTAGATCCCTCACACACTGTTGTAGCATGATTCAAAGGAGGGAGATTCTCTCGTGCAGTGCATTGAAGCACTGAATCTTAAAATATACCGTACTAAAGCATACGAAAGAGACTTCTATGATCTCCGACAGTCAAAGAAGATCTTGGAGCGCTTCTGCGAGCACTAGAGCATATGGCATAGGCGGAAATAAAAATGTCTGATAATCTGTCCTGATGTCTGGGATAGGTGAACCCTTGGCCAAGGCAGCGACTGGTCTGTGCAAACATCGCTTCAACCAATCAGTGCCTTGTGACAATTTCCACAAAATAGTGGACCTGCACGAGTTTCTTATGATGTCGCACGAAAGCATCGTCAACCCAAACGTAGAGCACAACATCCTTAGCTCATCTTCCGCGCTTTGACTGCTTTGCTGGCCAAACAGTGTGGGAGTTTGCCAAAGGCCAAAGGGTCATGTCCGGTCTTTTTGATGTGCCGATCCAACTGAGACCACCTTGCGATTTCCAACCCCTGTTCAGCCGAATAGCCGCACAGGCCATGGATAGACACACAATACCCACCACGAATCCTGCAGCTTCGGTAACCGTTTGGTCGAAGTGGTCGTCTTCCAAAAGCCAAGCCTCAGACTTTACATGGCAAGAAACAGTTAAAGAAACAGTTAAATCCCAAACTTACCAAACCTTCTCATGGCTCTTTCTGCCACTTGGCCATCCCAGTGAATTCGACGTCTTAAAATGTAAATGTTTGGATTGTGTAGATTGTCATGACGTCAGCATCTGGAGCTTCTTCAGCAACGGACATCTTTGAACTGCGAAAATAAAAGACTCTTGCAAGGAATCGGACGACTCCGACAGATTCTGATTAATTAATATATACAGTATATATATATTATAATATTATTATGAATATTATGTACATGTCAATATACATAAATATGGAAGCAGCTCTCAGGTCAAGGGGCAGAGTGGACGAAGGCCGACCTCAAGTGCTGAGAAACATTCACCCGTTCCAATGCAGGCATCGCTTCCAAACGATTCCCGTACATACCGTACGTATATAATATAATCAGGTGTATGTATATTTTATTATTATTATCATTATCATTATTATTATTACTAGTGCTATTAGTATTACTATCATTATTATTACAATCATTATTGTTACTATTATTACTATTGTGATTATACTATTTATATTAATATGCAGCCATATAATGTATGTGTGATTGTGTGTGTGTGTTTGTGACACATGTTCATAGACATAAACAATCATGTCATTATGTATACTGTATATACATCACGTCTCAATGACTGAAACTGCTGGCAAGACGCAGCAGGATCAATGGTAGACTTGCAATTGACAGCTTGCGCAAGCCGCGCATCAGGTTCTCTCCATAGCGAGAGCCTTTCATTTCTGCATTGGATGGTCGTCTTGAACCTCTTGAACCCGAATTGCTGAGAACCTGTGCTTGACAGAAAATTCCGGAGATAAGACTCTGGGCAACAGAAATTCATTAAAAAAACAAAGGCTTTACCTGATTTAGCGTCTACTTGTAATTCAACAGGTCTTGAGTAAGTCTGCATCACGATTGAGCTCATCACTGACGCTAAGGGAGACGAAAGGTCTTCCTCACGAAGACCCCAGCAAACGCCGTCACCAAGTTTGTCAACCATCTCCACGAAAGGTGCCAATTGTAGAGCAGACACCATCAGTGCCACGCACCATCCATAGGGTCGATTCTTCCGTATGGCTGATCGATGTCTACTAAGTGTCAAGGCAGAAAGCATGGTGGAAGCCAATACTCCAAAGACCAAGAGCCAAAAATGAAGGTTTTTCACCTCAGCTGGTGGGTGTGAGAGCTTTTGCAAAAGCTCGAATTGGGTTTTGAGGAGTTGTAGTCTTCTTTAAGCTTTGTGTTCCATTTTCTTTCCAGTTTGGTGCTCTTTTTTTGGGGTGTAGCTATTGAATTGTTGAATAGAGAGATAGTTTTCAATGCTTTCTTTTGCTGGAGTTCTCCAATGAATGCGCAGTTTTTGAGGCCAGGCTAATATCGGTTGTGGTTGGCAAAACTATTCTGTCCCAGTGGCTACATCCACCCAGGTGTCAGATATGTACCTTGGCTCATCTTGGCTCCGTGTAGGATGAACATGGATGAACTGCATAAATCTGCAAAACACTATGACCTTGTCTCGAGCTGCTGCGCAGTCAATTCATAAAACGACCCCGAAATAGGAAAGGGATGGAAAGGGTGCGGTGCTCGTCTGGTATCCCTGGCCGGCGAGATCCAAGGGGCATAATGTGAATCAGCACTGCCAACACGTCAAAGACCCGCTGTGCTGTCAATAGCAGGCCTTTGATGGCTAGACCCAGCACACGCTGAAACGTGGTGCTGCAGCGTTCACACCTCGAAGGCAACGTGAAGAATGATGTTAGGAGATTGGGCGTGGGCTGGCAACCAGTGGGTATCTATATATTATATTATATTGGTTCTATTTGTGGGGCTCTGGTTGTCAATCCTGTTCTTCCAACATCAAGATTTTAATCTTAAGCATCGAACACACGCAGATCGAGACGTTATCATCTTGTAAAGGATTCTTTGCTCATCACAGCACTGAGGACATCAGTTGTTGGTCACCTAGCACGCCGGTCGATGCAAGTAGTAAGTATAATTAGATGTATGCACTTTAATACACTGGAACACGAAGAGCACCTGGTGCCACGGTCATGTTCCAACAAGGGCTTTTTGCCCTGCACATTGGTGCCAGGCGAGGCTGCCGCTTCTGACGGCATTTGGAAAAGCTCAGAGTTGCGGAACGCCGAATCTGTCTGACCTGTATGTCTGGCATAAGGGACTTTGGATGACTTTGCGGTTCAATTCGGCAACACAGGCAACAAATAAATCGATAGAGTTTCAGGACTGATGATCTTCAATGACCTTTGGTCTTTGTGTTGCATGCTAGATCTTGTTGGGATGGACTTGATCTCGTTGGTGTCTGGAAAAAAACGTCTTTTCATCTCCGGATCCAAGAGCTTGAGCAAGCTGGTGGCGTCGCAGGCCATACATGTCATACCGTCATACCATCATATGCACGCACTGGCTAGGCTATAATTAGTGTTATCTAATGCATGCTATTCTCATGCTGGTAGATTAGAATCTTTGTCTATCTGCAAAGGGTGGCTAAGATTGCTTATATAACTTATATATATATATTATATTATAATTGGTCCGTCAAATCCGTTTTCTAGATTTCCGATCATCTCGTTCAAAAACCATCGCAATCGTCTTGGCATGGGCCATCCATGGCCATCCCACTGCTCTTTTTGCCGATGCACACTGCAGCGACTTTCCAAAGGCCCAGCTCTGAGCCACGTTCCGGTCGGAACGGTCGGAACGGTCAACGGAGTCAACGGAGTCAACGGAGTCGACCTCCCGAAACTGTTGAAGCGGCAACGGCGACCAATGCCTCGATCTCTCGCAAGCATTGACAAAGTCCTGAGAGCGAAGTCCACACATAAAACTTTCATAAAACTGGATAAAACCGCACCAAATGTCTCAAAATGTGGTATTTCAAGAGTCTGAAGGCAGGTGAGGTGGGGCTAACTAGGCCTGAATCGCAGTGTCGTTTTGTTGGGTGCAAGCTGCAAGCGGATGCAAGTTTGTTCTCATTCTGACCTGTACGCCGCATATTTCCCGGGCTTTTTGTGCGGCCCGCATGAATCCAGGAGGCTCTTGGAGGCTCAAATACATTAGCAAGGCTATGCAAGGCTATGCAAGGCTATGCAAGGCTATGCAAGGCTACAAGATGCTACAAGTATCACAAGGGTAATGTTTTTTGTGGTGAATTTATGTGAATTTACCTAGGAATCGGTATCCACAAATAATGCTCATCAACAGCCCTCAAAAAAAAAAATGGCATCAATCGAATCGATTGTGGTTGCTCTTGAGCCTACCGTGGCTGCTATCTATTTCCTGCACCCAAGAAGTCATGTCATGAATTGACATCACAAGCACTTTGCTGGACGACAATGTCTGACTCACAACAGGGTCAAACTCTCCTGCAGCATTGTTGGTGATAGAATGCCTCGCTTTGAGTGTGAGATGTTGGATAGCAAGGCCAGGCAGTGTTGCCACTTCAAAGCAATACCTCGGCCGGACTCTCGGGGCCAGGCAAAAGAGTCATTGCAAGGCATTAGAATTAAGTGATATTAAGTGGTCATTGACGGTCGTCAATGCTTCAATGATCTTCAATGTGGTCACAAGCGATCTATCAAAATTCAAGAGCACAACCTTGCAAAGCGCTAGGCCCGCTAGGCTCTACATTCCTTCAACTGAGCAGCTGCATCCGGCGAAAAGCGCTTGATGTGAGAGGTCGTCAGCATGTGGTGGAAAAGCTGAAAGGCTCAATTCCCACTGGGAGGCTTGTGCAAAGCAGAACAGCAATGCGTTGATGCCTCAGCGAGTCTCTCCAAAACATGGGACAAAAACGCCACTCTGCAGACCACTGACCACTGTGATCTTGCAGTCTTTGCAACGCGAGGGGTGACACGTTGTGTTCCTGAAACCTCAAGAAATACAGCATGCCAATATTCCAAAAATGGCAAAACTCTTCATGCTGGATGTTCGCTACCGTTCGCTTGGTCAACCACTCTCCGCTCCAGTTTTCAGCTGCGTCACTCACAACTGATGGTGAATTCTGCTCGCAGAGCCTGCGCTTGATTCACGTCGCTACGTGGCTACTGCACGACCTGTATAGTCAGAGGTTAATTACGTGCATGATCTTAACTTAACATGTCAAACCAATAAACACCATGATGTCTGAGAAATTGCCTAGCTGCCTAGCACAGCTTCACTGATCCTAACAACCAAAATGGCCTTGACATCAGCCGCAGTGCTTGCTCCCATTCACCGGGCATTTTGCAAGAACTCATGGCAGCGCAAAAACTGATGTCACTGGGCCGCAACTGTTTTCTGCCCATCTCCTCCAGCAAATCAAGCCTCAAGGGTGGATTCGCCAGCACTGCTTGAACCATGTGACAACTCAGACAACTCCAAATCTAATGAAATTTCATGACTGCCGCGAATATATACATATATATATAATATTATACATATATATATAATATTATACATATATATATATGTGTGCGTGTGTGAATATCAGAAATCATGATCAACACGATGAACAACACAGAGAGTCCAAAGACATGTCGAATATCTCTGAACATCTTCGAACCTACTTCCTCCAGCTATCTTCTATTTGCATCAGGGTTCAGATAAGGGGGGAGGAGTTGTGCAGATGGTTTTGGTAGATACAAAGCGGAATGCATAGGGTGCACAACTACAAAATGCAGTGCGTATTACTTTTTTTGCAGCTACAATTTGAAGAACATGACTCTTTCTGGCTCGGAAAATAATTCAAAACCAGTACTACAAAATCCAATGCATCTGAAGTTTAAAAATAGCTGAACGTCGGAATTGCTAACATGATTTTTCCCAATGACATTTTGTAGTTGGGTCTTTGCCATCCAAAGTTCCGACCAACATAAATTCGGAGAACATTTTGTAGTTGTCAATGATTGAATTTAGTTGGATCAAGTGTTGACCCCGTGAATTTATGTTGGATGTTTCAACTAACTCAACATATACAATTACAAAATGAAAATGATGATTTGAAAGGAATCAACTACAAAATGATTCCAAATACAAAATGGGGGGCACAACCCCTCCTGTTTGTACAAAAAAATCCTGGCTGGCAATCTGCACACTGTACTGTAGCCCAAGTCCTCCCCATTTCGTAGCTGAAATTTGAGGGTGGATCTATTTGCTCAGCAACATGTCAAAGGCATTCAGAGGTTGCATTTTTCAAGCGTCCAAATGTAAAAATAGTCCAACACATGAAAAGGTGCCAGGCATCTGAGAGGCTCACGACTGTCGTCACTTTTCAAACATGTTCTAGGAGGGAATTGAAAAGGCTCAAAAACGAAGCTTTAGTACCGTTAGCAATATCAACATCATCATCATCATCATCATCAGAATACGGTGAGAACATACAGCAGCGTAGACTGATGCATGTGTAGACGTGCAAGAGCACCTACAGCGTAGCATGACGTATGTGTGGAAGCGCAAGAGAATCTACAGAAGTGCAAGAGAATCTACAGCGTAGCATGACGCACGCTGACAAGCGCAAGAGAACTTACAGGGTAGCATGACGTATGTGTGGAAGTGCAAGCTACAGCAGCGTAGCATGACGTATGTGTGGAAGTGCAAGAAAATCTACAGCGTAGCATGACGCATCTGTAGAAGTGCAAGAGTACCTACAGCGTAGCATGACATATGCATGTCCCTACTTGGCCCAGCCGTAAAGCCTATAGGCTTTACCCCCATTTGTCCCGAATGGATTCATTCTGGGGGTTTGGGCAGTTCATTCTGGTCATGGGCTTGAAGGAGGAATCAATCTGGAAAAAATATTCCTGCACATACATTGCTCTGATGCACTGTTCCTCTGCTGCGGTTAAGTGCCTCTGTGTGTGCACTTTCGTTTGGTTCAGGCCCATGATTGCGAACTCCTCCACGGTAATCTGCCCGTCGCCGTTTAAGTCTGTCAGGTCAAAGAGCTCTCGAGCTGGGGTGCATTCCATCTCATTGTCATGGCTGACTTCAACTTCATCTGTCATGTCGTGTGAACAGTCGCTGCAGCAAGGAATGTTTCCCATTGACGGAAATGTCTGGGATACTTCGTGCTTTCCTTGTGAGCCAACACGCCGACTGAGTTCAAGAGGCTCATATCTCAAAAATGCTCAGACCTTTGCTCAAGCATTTTAACATGCCCGAACTTTCAGGGTCAATTGTTGATGCCAGGACGAATCCTGCCATCCAATGACATATCTGCAATGGTTGAGGATGCATTGACTTTCAGAAGATTTATCGAACCGAAAGGACTGCACCATCAAGTCAGCTACCTGACGCTGGTGCCCTCCAAGGAATTCCATGAATTGTCCCCTTCAACACCAGGTCCCGGACCGCAATCTGCTTGCAGTGGACCAACGGCACCCGCAAGTTCACAAGTTGACAGACCTGCGGAATGGTTATCTTCTGAAGTCTGGAGGCTTTCATGATGCCACTCGAATCAAGTCGTGCCAAAATCCGAATGAAATGGATAAATTGTGTAGGCTGATGAGGGATTGCACACCCTTCAAGGAAGGCTTGATGGTACCGTCATACTATGTATAAATCACTGTTTGACGCAAAGACTGGGAGTATGAAGGAAGAAAGGTCAAAAAGGTGCTCGCGTCATATCACGTCCACCTTTGTTCAGCAGGTCGATTCCATTGGATTTTCGAGTCCCACGCCATATGACCCTCTTGGGCCATATCTTCTGGATAGCCCTCTGCGCATCTGAAGGTCCAGCTCCAACTCATGACATCTCAGAGTCTCTCAACTGGTGGAGCTGCGCGGGGCATTTCATGGCCGTTTCGCAGGGGTAAAGTCACACTGGTATTAAAACTATTGGCTCTCAATAGGTGTGAATTTATCTGTGAGGTTTATCGCATCGCCGAGTCCAGCACACAGACACAGCAATGAATTCCAACGCATGCTATCAAAAATGTTGCAGTGCCAAAACATTCAGATACTGTAGAAATTGGAATCCAGCATCCCCGGCCAGTGAATACGGTTTCACAGCTGTAGTCGGATGTCAAGGGGAATCATTATTCAGTATATACATGTATGTGTATACCTATTCATGTCCATATTCCCGGCCTGGATTACTACTACATGGGCGAGGAGGATGGTGCCAAGCCATATCTTGTTGCTCAAGATCGCCGCACTGGAATGATGATGTCAACATCCCTGAGGGAGAAATGTGTGGCCGACTTGACAGCGACGAAGCTCTTGGCAAAGTTCCTGGACGTCCTTGGATACCGGGAGGTGGTCTTGAAGAGCGATAGCGAGAGGGCCTTGATCGCACTGAAAAGAGCCGCAGCCCGACAATCAAAAGGGCTGGTCAGGGCAATTCATGGGGAGTCACCAAAAGGAGATTCAAAAGCAAATGGAGAAGCCGAGCAGGCAGTTCGAGAGATAAAATGGCGGGTGAGAGCCATCACAATGATGCTGGAGAAGAAGCTCAACATCAAGCTTCCTGAAGGGCATCCTTTGCTGACCTGGGTGCCCCGCTATGCAGCAGAGCAGAGCAACAGGTTCAAGATTGGCCACGACGGCCGCACTCCAGAGGAACGCAGAACTGGGAAAAGATGGCTGAAACCAATGCCTCTTTTTGGAGAACGCATCATGGTGAAGCCGGCCGGCAAGGGTCGCAAAGGCGATCTTTCCAAGATGAAATCTGGCGGGTTTGGGGATTGAAGCTATGTTCGCCAGACGTTGTGCAACTGTTCGCAAACTTCCGCAACCTTTCGCGTGAGGACCATATGGCCGTGCCTCTGGTGAGTGCTGCAAAAGTGCTCACTTTTGGGTGTTCCAAACGTCGCCGAGCTTCGTTTCGCGTGGCATCACTTTGTGACATTCCAACATGTTTCATAATGTATCAAAAATCCTTGCAGTTTTCGTGGCAGGCGCAACACTTTTGAGACCTCCATCATTATTATATTGTGGCAAGCGCAGCGCTTCAGACGTGTCGTGTAGCATTTTTTTTGGCGAATCGCAATGTCAGGGCTGCGTCAATTGGTGACAGCGTGCAGATTCTGTGGCAGGCGTGGGGCATCGTGAGAATATCATTTTGCGCTGCACGGGCAGTATTTGGTGCTGATTCGTTCTGTGCGGACTGTCATTTTGCAAGGCAGGCGCAATATTTCCGATACTCTACACCTACACTCTATACACTCTACGCTCCGCACTCTCCTCTCTACCCTTGACACTCCACACTTTACATTCGACACTCTACACCCCACACTTTACACTCAGCACTCCACACTTTACACTCTACACTCCACACTCCACACTTTACACTTCACACTCTACACTCCACACTTTACACCCCACACTACACACTTTACACTATACACTCCACACTCTACACTCCACACTTTACACTCCACAGTGCGCACTTCACACTCTACACTCTACACTTTACACTCCACACACCGGACTCTCCACTCCACGCTCCACACTTTACTTTACACTCCACACTCTAAACTTTACAGACTCCACACATCCACACATCCACACTATACACTATACACTTTACACTCCACACTCTGCACTCCACACTCGACAGTCCAGCCTCCACACTCAACGCTTTACACTTTACACTTTACACTTCACACTCTATACTTTATACTTTTCACTTTACACTTCGCACTCCACACTCTACACTCTACACTTTTCACTTTACACTTCGCACCCTAAACCTTACCCGTTACACTCTCCATGCTCCACAATCCCCAGTTCACACTCTACAAATTACATTCCCCACTCAACACTCCACTTTCTTCACGCCCCACACTTTATACTCCACCCTCGTCCGCATTTCACAGTCTACAGAGCACTGGTACGGTCATAAGGGAAAAATGTACAAGACTGTTTAAGCAACTTGTTTCACAAAAGTGTTCTATGTGATTGCATTCGGTTTCGCAGGCTGCATCTTGTTTTTTCACAAATGTCACAGATCCGCGCGCAGCCGTGCCGTCACAGCCGCAGCCTGTAGTGGGACGGCATCAGGCGAATAGCTTTAGTCTAGTCTATAAATATTATATTCTAATGATGTGAATATTATATATACGTACATATGGATGTGTCCTGAAATGGGGGTAGCTCCAAATCATCCATTTTAATTGGATTTTCCACTATAAACCATCCATTTTAGGGATTTTCCATCTATGGAAAACCCCCATATCTATATACAATATATGAAAGCACCCAGCTTCTCATTCCAATCATCCAACAACTGGGTTTTCCCATTCTGAAGTTGCAACTGCACCAAGCCCTTCAGCACTGCCACGTCAGCCTTTCATGTTGACACTATATGATCCTGCGATTCGCCT